AAACCTAAAAAATAAATATTAAAAAAAATTCAAATCATGAGAAATATAAAAGATTTCTCCTTTATTTTCTCACCCCCACCTGTCATTGCTCTGTGACCCAGCAGGGCCCAGGCACTTATCATTAGGACTGTTCAATAAGAAGGTTTACAGGGGCTGGGATTGTGGCTCGCCTAGCAAGTGAGAGGCCCTGGGTTCGATCCTCAGCACCACATAAAAATAAATAAATAAAATAAAGATATTGTGCCCAACTACAACTAAAAAATAAATATTAAAAAAAAAGAAGGTTTACAGCTGGGTATGATGGTGCACACCTGTAATCCTGGTGGCTTGGGAGGCTGAGGTAGGAGGATTATGAGTTCAAAGTCAGCTTCAGCAACTTTGAGGCTCTACACAATTTAGCAAGACCCTGTTTCAAAATAAAAAAATAAAAGAAGGGCTGGGATATGGCTCCATGGTAAGCACCAACTGATTGCATCACATAAGACATCAACTGAAGACAGGGCATTTTCCTGTAACAATATGATTCTTGCTCTGGGATATTCAAGATTATCTGCAAATTCCAAAGGAGTGCCACAAAACACTCAAAACCAGAATTTATTTTGATTTTTAAAATACGTGTGTATACTGATGCTGGGAGCATAACTCTGTGGTAGAATAGTTACTCAGTATGTGCCAGGCCCTGTATTTGATCCCCAGCACAGCACCCCTCTCCCCTACCATACTGTACATTTGTATAACAGCACATACTTCATAGTAAAAAAGTATAGTACTTGGAAGGAACTTAACAAATAAGCCTGAAAAGTCAATGCCAAAGGTTGTAAATCAACATCTTAAACAGTGATCCAACAACCCTTTGGGTAGAAGCAATTATTCCAGGCAGCCCAGGAGTTTATACCAAGACAACTTAGTGAGAGGCACAGACAGGATTCTAACCCAGGCTGACTAGCTCAAGAAAGGTACTCAAGTGCTTTTAACCAGCTCTGCTAAACTAATCCTCCATGATCATCTCCAAGCCTTGGTTGAGCATCATGCTTAGGAGATTTAAACAAACATCAGCCATCATCATGATACTATATCATTAAAAACAATGCTTTTTTTCCATTAGCTCTAGTTACATTTTCGTGGTGATATTTTACCTTTTGTAACAGCCAGATGAAAATAGGGTTCATGTTGTATGATTTTAACTTTAATACAGAAGTTTTCTAAAAGTCTCATAATAAGTGTTCAGCATGATATTTCAAAGAAATAAAGAAAAATCTAAAGCAATTTTTCATTCAGATATGTACTAGGAACAGTACTTTCTTGAGGGGGAGCAAGAGAAAAAATTATTATTATGAAAGTATGCACATTAGGTAACCTGTGTAGCTTATGGGAGGGGAAAAAACACAGCCAATTCAGGGTGAATAATTTCAAGTACTTTGACAAGAGAAAAATAAGCAATGAGAAATAAAAATACCCTTCAGGATTAAATAGAGATATCTCTATCTTTAGTCATGCCCTATAGCAAGGCTCAGAAAACTATGGTCTGTAGGCCAAATCCAATCCACTGCCTGATTTTGCAAAAAAGGGTTTTATGGAAACACAGCTCTACCCATTCATTTACTCATTGTCTAAGGATGCTTTCACACTACCATGGCAATGAGTAGCCATGACAGAGACAATATACACCATACACAATGCCTACAATATTTGCCTACTTATAAAAAAAGGTTTGCCAACCCTATTTGTTTTATAGCACTTACTATCTAAAATTTATTTTATTTTTTGTTTATTCATTTATTGTCTTGACTCTCCCACTGGAACACACACTTCATCTTCATAATGAAAGGGACTTAGTTCTCCACTGTATTCCTAGCACCTAGAACAGCGCACGACACATGGTATGCATTCAATAAAATTGTTGAATGAATGGCACTAAATGAGAAAGGGAAAAGAAAACAAGCATTACCCATTTTCCCTTTCTCTCTGAGTTGTACTCCAACTATTCAGCCCACCACTCCACTGAAGTTGGTCTTCTCAATTAGCCACTGAATTTATCACAATAAATCCAATAGTTAATTCTCAGTCCTTGCCTTACTTGACCCATCAGCAGTGTCTGACCTAGTTTGCATACACCTTTCTTCCTCACTCTTCATAAGCCTTTCAGACCACGGCACTCTCAGTTTTCCTCTCACTGTTCTGGTATTTCCTTAAGTCTCCTTTGCTGGTGCAGTCATATTTCCCCAACCTCTTCATGTTTGTCTGCTTCATGGCTTAGTCATTGAGATTTTTTTTCTTATTCTACACTCACTCCTGGGTGAGTTAATCATTTAATTTCTATTCCCCCAAACCTGTTCCTTTATAGCTTTCTAGGTGCTAGGAATACAGTGGAGAACTAAGTCCCTTTCATTATGAAGATGAAGTGTGTGTTCCAGTAGGAGAGACAATAAATGAATAAACAAAAAATAAAATAAATTTTAGATAGGCATTTCAAACTTAATTAACCCAAAATTAAAACAATGCTTATCTATTCCCCCAAACCTGTTCCTTTACAGCTTTTGCCATCTCAATAAACAGGAACATCTTCCTTCCAGAAGCTTAAACCCAAAATTCTTGGAGTCAACTCAGTTTCATTCTGGTTATCTTATAAACATATTCCAGGTTAATGATTACTTCTCACCCCCTCCACTGTTACCATCCTAGTCCATGCCACCAAAATCTCTTGCCTAATAATTTTAACTCACTCCCTTAGACTCTCTCAACAGAGCAGCCAGAGTGATCATGTTTAAAATGTAAATTACAGGTTCAACAGCAGCTCTCCCACTTGAAGTCACATAATTTGGTCCTCTGAAATCTATTTGCATTTTTATTCCCTCCATACCAGACACAGGACTCCATGCAGAAGCATGCCAAGCATGCTTCCATGGCTCTTCTGGTTGAATCCAAAGAATCCAGAATAAGACACTTTAATGAAATACTGTGTCACCTAATTCTCAAAACAACTCTGTGAACTAGTTATCATTTCTCCCACTTTCAGATCAAGAAAGTGCGCCTGGCATGGTAGTGCAAAGGTGTAATCCCAGCTACCTGGTAAGGTGACACAGGAGGATCATCAGGTTCAAGAACTTGTCTCAAAACAAAACAGAAAGGGCTAGTGGTAATGCACTTGCTTACCACGCACAAGATGCATGAGGCCCGGGTTTCAATCCCCAGCCAAATACACACACACAAGAAAAGTAAGGTTTACAGGTCACTTACCTAACAAATATGGAGTTGGCGTTCAACTCAGATTAGTCTACACAGAACATGAGCTATGAGTGAACATTTTGAGGACTAAAAGGAAAGGATTCAGTGATGTTCCCTGAAATCACAGGTGTTCTAATAGTATGTGGTGACAACTAGTGAAGGATATGAGAAAGGGGAAGGAGTTCAGGCCAGTCTTGAACTTCAGAAGAGGAAGAATCAGAAGAGAAACGTATTCAAGTCTAGAATGGAAAGTTTCAAAGAAAAGGGACGGGAGTCGAATGGACCTAGACATCCACAGGTCCAGGAGCCAAGCGCCTGCCTCGCAGTAACCACACTTGTGGTGGATCCTGATTGTTGCAGTTGTTTTTAAAGACCCACCTTTTCCTGCCCATAATGCCGGTCAGAGACACCCTACCAGGTACCGCAGCTCGTCAAGTGTGTCAAGACAGGCTGCAGACAAGCTGAGGATCAAGCAACCCAGTTCCACACCCAGGTTCTCGACCGGCCCACGGGGGGGGGGGGGTGCAGCAGGGGGATGACGCGCGAAGAACACGGCACCGCCTTCCTCCCGACCCCCTCCAGGTTCGTGCGGCCACGCTGTCGTTTCTCCACGTCGTGTCCCAGGGACCGAGGCCGGGTGAGCGCCGGCCCTCACCCCAACTTCTCCCTGAACTAACTCGCCGCCTGTGACCCGTTCCTCTCCGTCCCACAGGCAAGACAAACCCACCCGAGCTCCCTCTCTTCCCATCCCCCCAGCCTCCTCCTGGGAACGGTCCCGGGAAGTCAGCCACCCCGCTGCGGCCTGGGCGCTGAGACCCCGCCTCACCACGGCTCCGGCCACGGCGTGCACCAGGCTTTCGTAGGAGAGCACCGAGGACATTGGTGCGGCTTCAGGTAGACCTAGCTACACTTTCCCCTCAGACGCCGCAGTCCACGGAGTTAGGAAAGGAGTGCCGGGGACTGGGGGCGTAGGCGTCGCAAGGTCCACCCTCTCAGAATCACTTCCGGGTCGCTGGGAGCCTTCAGTCGCCCGTAAGAGCAGCCTCCCGGGGCGGGAAAAAACAGGTCTGAGAACGCCCCCGAGCGTTGATTGGCCGCCGGGCTCGCGTGGGGCGGGGCAGCGCGGTACTCGTGGGCGCCGGGGCTCAAAGCACCAAGCTGGTGGATACCAGTAGTCTGTGTGCCCAGGAACTTGGGTCTGACCCGAGTTCTCTCGCATTCCGGGACCTAGCCTCAGCCTACAGCCACAACATTGGGGAACCTCAGAAATTCCTATGGTCTCTTTTCCCTACTCACCTCCACAAGACATGTTGGTGACAACAGATGAGGAGACTCAGTTGGACTCCAGTCTTCCCTTCTCTGCAACATAACTCCTTTTGGCGCTGGGGATTGAACCCAGGACCTGGTGCATGCTAGACAGGTGTTCTACCACTGAGCAACACACCAGCCTGTCTCTTCAATTTTGAAGGTCACTTTTTTGACCAAGAGGAAACAGATGTTGATTAGGCAAGATTTTCCCTTCTGAAAATCCCTGGGGAGGGGAAAACAATTTTAGCTTCAGAAGATCAAAATTACCAGATGCAGGTGGGAGCCTCATACTAAATAGCAACTATGAAAGTCATTTCACTTTGTGGTTTCCTCCTTTGAGAAATGACAATGTTAATACCAATCCAACTTGTATTACAAAAGCTAATTTATGTGGACATATCTTATAAAATACAGAAAATGTTGGTTTCCATGTTAGAAAATGATATTAACAACATGGGATGAAATAAACATTCAATCTTTAACCTTAGTCATATTTTAAAACAGTTTCAGGAAGGCAACTGCTTTACCTTCTTTATCATTGTCACCTGTCTCTATGTAAAGCTCAATACCAGCATATATATTTACTTCTCTAATGCCCTCGGTCACAGCTCATGAGTGCTTACTATAGTCCAGACCAGTGCTTTATGCCCATTACCATATTAATCCCCAGGAGAAGCCCTAAAAATATTAAGGTGGTCATGTTTTTGCCAAATTTAATCATGAGGTGTTACAGTAGCCACAAGCGAAGGGCTTGGTTGGCTTTAATCTGTTGTATAGAATTAAGTTACTGCTAGATGACCTGCCCTGGAATGACTTTCAGGAATAGTCCTATCACTCCATTGGGTCATGACATAAAGATGGACTGAAAGTCAAAATACATAATTTAGATACTGAAATGTAGAAACCAGAATCTGAATATAAAATGTATTCTTATTGCCATACTGGGGATTGAATGGAGGGGTTCTCTACATCTGAACTGTATCCCCAGTCCTTTTTGAGACAGGCTGAGACAGGAGAATCCCAAGTTCAAAGCCAGTCTCAGCAACTCAGTGAGGTCCTAAGCAACTCAGCAAGACCCTATCTCTAAATAAAATACAAAAAAGGGCTGAGGGTGTAGCTCAGTGCCTGTACAAAATAAATAATAAAGTTCAATATCATTTGTCAAACTGAGAGTGATGGCACACACTTACAATCCCATGTAAGGGAGCTGAGGTGGAAGGACTGAGTTTTCAAAACCAGCCTAAGTAACATAGCAAGTTTCCATCTAAAAAACAAAAAGGATGGTGGTGGGGAGCTCAAATTAGAATCATTGTCATATAATTAGAATACACAACAAACAGAAATCCCAGACTCTGGAGGCTGGGACAGAAGGATTTTTGAGTTCAAAGACAGCCTCAGCAAAAAGCAAGGCACTAATCAACTCACTGAGACCCTGACTCTAAATAAAATGTAATATAGGGTTGGGGATGTGGCTCAGTGGTTGAGTGTCCCTGAATTCAATCTCCAAAACACAAAAACGACTGTGCTCAGGAGAATGAGGCAGAAAAGGAATCTGAGGCGGGGCAGCATATACTGAAAGTTTTTTCCTTGACCAAATGTGTCCCTGTGCTGAGCTGTCAGGGCCAGGTGCACCCGTTCATCATACACAGCACAGGTTCCAGCACACTGGGGTTCCAGTGACCCTGAGTTCAATCCTCGATACCAAAGAAGAGGAAAAAAAATGTAATTCCATAGCTCCACCAATTAAATAGAATTTTCTCTGAAGTTGTGATGTTTCTGATTTTTAAAAAATTTCCTTCCTTATTCTGAGGATTGTTAGTATCCAGAATATTTTCAAAAGATGGCTGAGTTACAAAAATAATACTATTCTTTTTTTAAAATAACCAAGTTAAATAAACATCAAATCCCTTGACACTACTTATGCTGGGTGTTAAAAACCTAAACCCTTCCTGTTTACACCTATACCACGCACGGTAGAGATAAAGCCACTTATGTTGCTTCTACACTGGTCTGTGGTCAGGCTACTTACACTGAAAACTGCAAATACTCTAGTAACATGAATTAACTATCAGATGCCCAGCATCATCAGCATGGTTATATTGACTCTATTTACCACCTTCCTTTTTTGGCTAATACTTAAAACCCAAATTTTAAAGGCAATAAACCACTAAATGTCAAGAATTTTTCAACTATCTAACAGAAAAATCATAAATCTTTGCTTCCACTAGCATTGTACAGGGGGTTTCATTGAATAATTGCCTAAAATCTTCTGCCATATTGATAGATTATCCTTATTCTTGAAGTTTATAGCTATTGTTCATTACCTGTTATTTACTGCTTATTTATTTTTTGTGGTTGGTACTAGGGATTACAAAACTTACTTTTCCAGCTTTTTATTGAGACAGTATTCTCCTAAGTTGCTCAGGCTGGCCTCAAATCTGAAGACTCATTTCAGCTTCCAGAGGAGTAAGAATTATAGGCCTGCACCACTGCACCTGGCTATTTAGAATACTTCCCTCCCCAAGCACAAGCTCTATTAAGTACACTATATTAGTTGTAAATACTGGCACGTAATTAACTTCTTGGAATTACTATAGTTTTTAAAATTTATTTTTGAGCCAGTCATGAGTGAACTAAGCACTTAATATACCAGATCACTTACTACTGGGAAAATGTCCTATTGGATGTACAAATCAGTACATATGAAGTGTGATATTCTTTTAACAAAGTTCATTCTTTGTGTATGTCAGGTACTTGGATTGAACCTAGAGGCCCTCTACCACTGACAGGCTTTAGCAAAGTTGCTGAGGCTGGCCTTCAACTTGAGCTCCTCCTGCTTCAGCATATGGTTACTGGGAATACAGGTTATGTACCACCATGCCTGGCTTGGTTTACAATTTCTTGAGATAATGAACAATTAAGAATTTGTTCGCTAGGGTTGTGGCTCAGTGGTAGAGCCACTAGCCTAGCACACGTGAGACACTGGGTTCAATCCTCAGCACCAAATACAAATCAATGAACAAAAAAAAGGTGTAATGTCCATTTATAAATATAATTATGTGTTATATAATTTATATATATATATATATATGATTAACTGCACAGCTGGGGTTGTGGATCAGTGGAAAAGCACTTGCCTAGCTTGTATGAGGCACTTGGTTGAATCACAGCATATAAATAAAATAAAAATAAAGGTCCATCATCAACTAAAAAATATATATTACAAAATTAACTTTGTACATTGGGTCAACGAAGTAGAGAATCTAAAAGGAACACCTCTGAAGACTGGGTATTTGAGAATCCCAACTCCACAAGCAAGCATGGGTATTATCCTGGGCAATTAAGTGCTTCAGTTTCCTTCTACAAAATAGTATGTGTAGTATCAGAGCTGAGCCAATGGATTACAATTCATATGGATTAATTTTAGATGTTAGCAAATTCTAAAATGGATACTGCTTCTGTTTTACCCTAAGCTAGTGTTTCTCAGTGTGGCAAAAGGAAAGTTGGCTCCAAATCTTTTCCATATCTTCTGTAATTTTTTGTTGTTGGCCACAACCACACAGCTATGGAATGTGTATGTACCATCTTTCTAAACAGTTAATTATGGCCCAAACAAACAAAAAACGCACAATCAATGATACGAGAAGAAACATGATGCTAATTCCTTATATTAACTCCAGCATCTCAGTGTAAGTTTCTCTGACTACCTCTCCCTATTTCCTAAGGGTGTTAGATGATCACCAAGGAAATCCTATTAGACTACCAACAGAAGCTACCTGCCAGGTACAAAGCTGCAGATCTGATCTGGGCAGCCACCAGAAAGTATGTACACCTCTGCACAACTTTGGTAAAATTTTAAAAGTTTTTGTTAGTAGCATTTAATGACCTATACCTTATTATGCCCAGTAAATAACTTCAATGACCAACAGAGATAAAAGATGTGCTCACAAAAGGTAGTGGGGAGTCAATATCCAGTTTGAAACCATATTTTATTTTTAACATAGCTAGAAATATCCAATAACTATTTTTAAGCAGAAAACTTTCTTTTCCTTCTTACAGCATCATTAGCAGAAAAAAGAAACATTTCTCGTTTTTAGAAATGATACTGGGTCTCTAAGAAAATGAAGACTATCTGTTGTATTTGTGGAACTTAAAGTCTAAAAGCACAGGACACATTTTCAGAAGAGTAATTTACTTTTACCCATTTATATTCGTAATATTCGAGTATAGTTAGGTCATGTATAATTAAGTCAATCAAATCAGGAATCCAAGAAGAAACTGTTCTTCTTGAATTAAGCACAGCACACATGAGATTTTGAGAACATACACGAACAACAACAACAAAAAAGAACACCGGCAAGCCCAAATCCAAGTATAAATGGTGTTTTTTTCCAAGGGTATTAAAAGCATGCTCCATTAGCATACGACTTTTTCTCATTTTTGTAACAGATGCAGTTCTGTTTACTCATGTAAAGGGTTAGAACCTGTATAAATATATTAGAAATGTACTACTTTATAAATGTATCCCAAGGAATTTATCATTTCCTTTATCTTTGCAGGGACAAAAGGGAAAAAGAGGTGGGAGTATGGTTGCAGTATTTAAGGAAGAGCTGAATACAATAATGAATCTTCATGGTGCCAAGAACTCCATAATGAATAACCAGGCTCTCATCTATTTTATAATTCATGTTAGATCAAGCAGTTAATTCCTTGTATGGTTACCAATAACTCAAACCATATACTCTTCAAAATACAAAGATCAATAGGTACTTCCTAAATAGAACACCAAACACTAAAAGGAATCCTTCCTTCCAATGTTTTTTGACATCACAAGATTTTGCCAGAGTGGAAGTCTAATAACATTTAAATAAGCAATCTCATGGCTAAGAAAGAACTACAGCTCTTATGGGTATTATTCCACAGCTAGGATATGTATTACATATTAAATTAACCCCAGCATTATATATGCTTTGCACAATTATGGTATGATAGCAGTGATGATACTAGTGAGAAAAGATTATCTTTAGTTCAAGAAGGAGGGAAATACAAGAAGCAGAAAGCAGACATAGTTGGTCATTTTCTGATGAGGAAAGGTAAATTTTAAACATAGAATATAAAAAGAAAACTACTCCCTTATTTCCCCACGGTGGAAATAATATGAAACATTTATTTGATATATTGAACAAAAACAGAGCTAAGTAATCCAACTCCATTGCAGCATAACAAAAAAAAAAAAAAAATCACCTCTTCAACACAGTGTAAGATTTAAATGCAACCTGCATAAGGGCACATGTCATATAAAATAGTAAGACTGCTGCTGCCTTACCAAATACTTCCAGTCCCTACCCAGGTTAGAGTGAAATACTGGTGGTCCCAATAGTTTTATTGAAATTAATCATTTAAAAAATATTTTTAAATGACAAATCAAAATGCCTCAGTCTCAGTAACCATATATTCAACTGAAACTTTTATCTATGTAAATGAGATTTATTTACTTCCCACTAGTAAGTCTATTTCACTCACGTTACAGCTATGTATTTTCAATACTTAGTATCTGCCTTGCCCAATATCAAAGAAAAAATCCTAAATGATTAGTAAATAAAAATGTAGGAAATAACACCCCCTTGAGTTTTAAATATTTTTAAGGTTTAAAAAGTGTTTTAAGTTTGTAATTCCTAGTAGGAAAACATTATCTGAATGAACACCCTAATGGCAAACCATTGTAAAATGCTTCAACTGGATTTGCTGCAGAGGGGTAAGGATTATCTTCAAAGCACCCCAGCTCTCCTGATGAGGTCAGAGGTACACTGGTTTGTATTATTGCGACAGCCATTAAGTGATCTAGGTTGCTTTTCCTTCAGTAAGGGTTTTGTCTGGTGGGCATTACGCTTGACCTCCAAATTTGGCTGACAATTTACTGATGAGATTCATAACCTTTGGGTTGCTTTGATATTTTGACATATTTGCTGGGTTCTGGGCCACATCCTGGAAGGCCACCATAACTTCTGGATCCTGTAAAAAGAGGGTTTTGTTTATTTATTTATTGAGTATTAAAGAAGTGTCCCAATTTATCAACAACTTTAGGATCCTGAACCCCATTCTCTTTATTTAGACCTGTAATTCTGCTATGGTCAAATTAATTGTGGATCAGACACTCCGTGAAATATAAATATTATTAATGTGCACCTAAAAGTCAAGCCTAACTGTGTTGCTTGAGCTGAATAATAAAATAAAGCACACACAGCTTTAAGGAAGAAAAACAAGATAACATGTTACTAATTGCCAACTACTACAGAGTATGTCCTATAACCAATTCTTAAAAACCTACTCATTACAAATGTCCCAACTACAAAATTAGCTATTAGATAACTAATATTAATGCAAAATGTTTAAGTGACCTTATCACTTTGCAGAATTATGTAAAAATGCCTCAATGATTAAAGTCCAAATTTCCTCTTAATAAGTCTTACCTGCATGGCTGCAAGAACCTCCGGATCACTAAGAATTTCATTGAGCCCAGGCATTCCTGCCATTCCAGGCATGCCCCCTCCCATTCCAGGCATTCCTCCAGGAAAATTACCAGGCATTCCTCCAGGAAAGCCACCTGTAAGAATAAAGCAAATAATTATACAGACATCATCTATACTCCCAACAAGTCTTTAACACAAAAAAAACTAAGGATACCATGTAAGCATAATGCAGTGTCAACAGTCTAATCTGAACAAGACACAAAATGCAATTTCTACTTTTCTTTTATAATTAAAGCTGAAGTCAGGAGTGGTGGCATACACCTGTCATCCCAGCAACTCCAGATAATGAGGCTGGAAGATCACCATGTTTGAGGCCAGCAAGCAATTTATCTGATATTCTGTCTAAAAAAATTACAAAGACTGAGGATGTAGCTCAGTGGTAAGTCACCAGTTTAAACCAAGGGCTCCTTATCATTGGGCTACTTCACCAGCACCTTTTCATTTTTATTTTGAGACTCAGCTCTCTCAAATTGTCATCCTCTTGCCTCAGCCTCAGTCATTGGGATTACAGATGTGTGCCACCATGCCTGGTGACTCCAAGGCTTTGAAAACTTAGCTCATACCCATAAAAAAATTAAAAGGAAAAGTCTTCTCCAATTTAGAAAATAAAATGCACACAAACAGAAAATTATATCTTGTAATAGTACACATCAGTGGTCATTTTTCTTTTTTTCCTCAACTTTGGTCATTTTCTAAAAACGAAGGTACATGACAGTTATGAGCTAAAACTCAATTTTGTGTTTTTAAAATTTGTTGAGCACACTACCTTTTTATTTTCTAGTTTTGAACCAAATAACTAAGTTTTAGCCAGTGGCAAAGTAATGTAAATAAACTTTATAAAGCTTTCATAAAATAAAACTAGTTAACATCAAATAGCTTTAAAAGAAAAAAAATTTCCAAGTATCCACCTGGTCTAACTGCTTCAATTCAGGAAGTATCTGATAATCATTTTATGAGCATAATTTTCTCACTCTTTTATCTGCCTTTCGGTCCTTTGTTATCATTCAAAACATTGCCTTGTTTCTTATAAAAAATTTGCCAGAAAAAGAAGAATGTTTTGTTATTTTGATGACAATACCCGGGACTAACCGCCCCAACCCCTGTTGGTAAGTTGTAAAGCTCAACAATATAGTGTTTTACATATCCTCATGAGTTTTACTGTATAACAGAACAAAAATTCCATTATGACAATTTAAAAATATTTAAATTGCATCATAATTAACTAATAAAAGTGTAACACTCAAAATCCAATATAAGATAGTCATTTTAAAAAAATATACTACTCAAATTGTGAGGAAAAAATACACTATTTCTAACATAAAAATTCTTAAATATATTTAGCACGTAAGTCAATCTCATTCTACACACATGAGCCCTCCAAATAGAACATATTTTAATTGTTTATAGTATTAACAGTTTCAGTTTTTCTCCAAATGTACCTGGAAAAGAGCCAAACTGAGCTCCTGCTTGTCGTCTGGCTTCTTCCTCCTTTAAAAAGAAAAAATAAATAAATTATATCACAGGAGGGAGGAAAAGTACATAGTCTGCCAACATTATTAATCCATGTAAATTTCTCACAAAAAAATTACAAAATAAGCCATTAATAGATTTTTTTAAAAAATGATAAATGTAAAAGGCAATACTAAATTAAATGGTACACTCTATCCCTCTTTTTTTTTTTTTAAAGAGAGAGCGAGAGACCCTCTTTTTTTTTTTTTTTGGGAGGAGAGGAGAGAGAGGGAGAGAGAGAGAATTTTAATATTTATTTTTCAGTTTTCGGTGGACACAACATCTTTGTTTGTATGTGGTGCTGAGGATCGAACCCAGGCCGCACGCATGCCAGGCGAGCGCGCTACCACTTGAGCCACATCCCCAGCCCCCACTCTATCCCTCTTTGAAAACAAATTTTCCAACACAATTCTCATTGAGCATCATCATTTTATTATTCTGTGGAACTGGGCATTGAACCCAGGGCCTTTTATCTACAAGGCAAGTTGATCATTATTTTAATGATTTCAAATAGAATATTTTATTTCTCTGAAAAACAAATCAAGAAAAGCAATTGCTTATAAAAATTACAAATTCTTAAATGTTTTAACTCCAAAATGAAAGCCTTTGACTAGATTACTAAGACTGCCACAACAATTATTTCCCAGTTTCAAATTCTCCATATTCTCTCTACAAAATTAGACAAACACTACAAATATGTTTATAGATCTGCCATTTTTTAAGACAAATGAAAAGATACATAAAATCTCCCTTATACCCAGGTAAAAAATAAGACATATAAATGTATGAAATATTTAAAAATTGTTTTTCCTGAGACAAAAAAAAAAAAAAAAAAATCAAGCATTACCTTTAAATTAAATGCAAAAAAATTAGGATGTAATATTATGTAATTATACTATATAGCTTTATGTCCTTTCATTCAACAATATCAGAAGTGACAAATGATAGAACCAATTCAAAGCTACAGAAAAAAACATCCCCCGGCCCCCCAAAACTAGGAGAAATCTACAGAAAAGCTCAACAATACTGTGGATACAAGTTATTTTTCTTTTTTCTAATTTTCTATGACTTTATAACCTAAATAAACACCCCAGGCTCTGCCCCAATTATGAATTCAATGTTGAACCAGGATGAATCATAATATAAGAAACAAGGGGGTCTGCGCAGGGAGTTGGGCTCCGGACCGCCACCGCCACCTCGACTGCGGCTGCCGCCATTGCCTTGTTCCTCTGCCCTGTCCGCGGCCATGGCCTACACAGAGGATTTCTACTGCCAGTCTGTCAGGAGGTGCTAAAAACGCCCATGCGGACTGTCAGCACATAACTGACAGGATTCCGAATATTGAAGTGGAAGTTTCCCTTTGTGTTACCCTTCTGTTCATTATTACTCGGTTACTACAAGAGTGGAGTTTCTGTAGAAAATGTTTCCTGACTGCAATGAGAGAAAGTGGAATACATTTCCCCAGTGTTGTGGAAATGTGATTAGAAGAGAAAGAGCGTGTACAGAATGGGTCTTAGATCTTGAAAATATCATGAGGAAGTTTTCTGGTAGCTTTAGATGCTGTGTAAAACAGATTAAATTCTATCGTATGAGACATCATAAATCTTGGAAGTATCAGGATGAATATGGTGTTTCTTCCATCATTCCAAACTTTCAGATATCTCAAGATTCAGTAGGGAATAGTAATAGGGGTGAAACATCCACATCTGATAACACAGAAACTTGCCAAGAGAATACAAGTTCTGGGCATCCCACCTTTAAGTGTCCCTTGTGTCAAGGGTCAAATTTTACTAGATACCGTTTACTTGATCACTGTAACAGTAACCATCTATTTCAGATAGTTCCTGTGACATGTCCTATTTGTGTGTCTCTTCCTTGGGGAGATCCTAGCCAGATTACTAGAAATTTCGTTAGTCATCTAAATCAAAGACATCAGTTTGATTATGGAGAATTTGTGAATCTTCAGCTAGATGAGGAAACCAATATTAAAATGCTGTTGGAAGAATCTTTTCAAGTAAACATCTGAAGCCTGTAGACAACTCTACATCTTTGTACCTGCAAGTGCCATCTTTATGAGGAAAACTACATGAAGTCACTGTTTCAGTAACTTGATGTGTATATTAATAAAAGTAATTCAGTCTATTATTTTAAATTTTTTAATTGAAAAATAAAGGTTGGGCCACCTAAAAACTTCATCTTCTTGACAAGTTAAAAAATGAAAGTTATGACATTACTTTAAAAGCATAAAAAGGATTATATCTCAGTAATGTAGTGAAAAGGGAATCCCTGTTGTACTTTTATCTTTTTTTATATTACATACTTTTGAATTTTTCATTATTATTCTGTTGCTTTTGAAATTTGGTGCAGTTCCTATTTATTGTACCCAGGTATCACACAATAGCAAAATCTGAAAGACGTGACTGGATATAAACGTAACAACAAATCTGAGCCAGTTGTCAAGAGTTGCAGAATGAAAACTTGAAATGCTAAATGGAAGAATCCAAAGGAAATTTTTTAAACACAGATTATAGCTGAAGTATTCAACTATAAGAAAATTGTATTTATATAACATTTAGTATTTTTGAAGACTAGTTAGATTTCTTTAATAATGTTAACTCTTTAAAAGTAAAAGTTCATTGCAAAGTCATTTCCTTTTTGCTATTAGAAGGAAATATCGAGAAAAAACTTATTTCTTTGGGGCAATTGGTAATTCAGTCTTGTTTGTTTGATCATTTTGTAAACTGAAATACCAAGCTGAATAACAGTTGTTTTGCCACAGAACTTTCAATAGCCAGTGTTTCTCATTAGCTGAGATGAAACTTATATCACCAAAATTTTAAAAAAGTAAAAGTCAAATGCTAAATGATATAAGTTGGTTGCTATTACACCTTAAAAATTGAGTTTACACACAATTACCCTATTTATATGATGCTCATTTGTCATTCTCAAAAATAATGCATGTGACTATGATGGTAGTGAAAATAGATTTTACCAGCCACAGTTTCGCTACTTTATAGTCAAAACTAAGTTTTTCCTTAACATTGGGAATCATAAAATATTTTGTAGAAGGGCCAAATCACAGAAAAAAAGGATAAAGTGAATTCGCTGACATTCCATACTAATACACAATGCATATTTATGCTTTATTTAAAATTACTAAAAGATCAAAATCTCAGAAGTAGTTTGCTGCTAATATATACATATATTGAATAAAAAGGTATATTCTGGTTTTCTTAAAACCCTTGTTGACTTTTCTACAGTGAACATTTTTTAAAACTTGATTTAATAAAAATGTTAATTTTGGAAGTGAAGTTTTGTAAAAACCTTTTTCAGTCAAACAGCAATGACTTTATTTATAGATAGTAATAACAATCACACAGAAAGCCATACATCTTAATGCCTTTGTTCAGTTATTCTAAGAGTAACATTTACTGTATGCTTTAATATTTTTTCTGCAGTTAACATGAGTGTAATTTTAGGAACAGCAGGATGAAGAGTTCTTTTTAAAAAGACACTTTTGACCATAGTTTTTTTCCAGTTTAAAGCAAAAACTTTAGTAGTTTCTTTCAAAGTTTAACATGTACAGTACGTCAACTTAAACCATTCTGAAATTTGCAGACTTCTTTAAAGGAAAATTGTTGGTAGAGATCATCTTGATGAAACTGTATTTTGAAGTTGTGTGAATGAGTTAAATATTAATAGTCTCAAGTGTTTTACACATAAGCTTTTTCATAAGGAAAAGAAAAAAAGAAAAAGAAAAAAGAAACAAGGGCAAATCCTGTTCAAACAAACCGAACAAAAAATATCGCCAAATTTTAATCATTTGATTATGAGAAATTTCTGACTTAAAAAATTGGGGGTGGGGAGTTTTGCAAGGAGTGCTAGGGATAGAACTCAGGGCCCAGTGCATGGTAGACAAATGATCTACCCCTGAACTAGAGCTACACCCCCAGCCTAAAATTTTTGACTTCAGAAAAACATAAAAAGAACACACTTTGGTTAAATATAAGCTAACTTAAAAATTTTAAAGACTAAAATTATCCCCACACATTGGAAACAATGAAAGGAGACTCCTTTTAAAGTAATATCATCACTCTATAGAACTTCAGCCAGCATTAAATAAAGTGGCTAGGAGTAGGAATAATATCTCAAAACTATGATCTACAGTATGTTCCACTCAGGCTTAACTAAAAAAATTTACCCTCTGGGCTCTCTCATGTTCTTCTCGAGCCTTCTTAACTCTTTCTATTCTTTCTTTGATCTCTCGCTCTTCACGTTTTCGCTCATATTTTCTCCGATGTTCAGCAATTTTCTGGGCCTAGAAATCAGAAACCATAGGTAAAGTGTGCTCCAAATTTTGGCTAAGGGCAACACAGTTTTTAAGTTACTGTGGAGAGTTGTTTAATTCAATAGGTAGTTCATAAAAATGACATTTATCTTATAGGAAATGACCTAACACAAATTCAGGCATTAACAAGACCAAACGCAAATGCACAAGACACAATGAAGTCTGGGATGTACAGGTAGAGAAAAATGAATAATCTCAAATAATTAACTGAGTATGATAAAGGACAACAAATAAGTTTCAAAGGTCAGAACAGTTCTTGCTTGATAGTTTCTACCAGGTACACAGTGTTAAGAATTCAGTTACAGCTCAGTTCAGTAGGAAAATTATTAATGATGTTTGTCATGAGAAAGCAGACACTGGAAACTCACAAAACAGGAGTTGGCCACAGTTGTGTCATTTATAAAATGAGGAGGGGGCCAGAAACATTTAGTCTTGGGGCCAGGGATATAACTCAGCAGTTAGAGTATATGCTTAATTAGGCCCTGGATTTGATCCCCAACACCACAAAAAAGAAATTAAAAAAAACTAAGTATTCAGTCTCATCAAATTGTTTTTGGGATTAAGAAAGAAAATACCCATGGGTGAACTTTTTTTTTTTTTTGGGGGGGGGGGGGGGGGTTACTGGGGACTGAACTGAGGGACATTAGACCACTGAACAACATTCCCAGCCCTATATTGTGTTTTATTTAGAGACAGGGTCTCACTGAGTTGCTTAGCACCTTGCCATTGCTGAGGCTGGCTTTGAACTGGTGATTCTCTTTCTCAGTCTCCCAAGCCACTGAGATTATAAGCATGCACCACCACGCACAGCAGCAAATATGTGTTCTATAGCTAGAAGTTTTTGGCAGTGCTGATGACTGAACTGAGGGCCAGGCATACTAGGCAAGTACTCTAGCCCTGAGCCACACTGCCACCAGAAAACGTGTGTTCTACAATATTTTTCATCACAACTCGGCTAAGCCACGTTATTGGGATGGGGTGGGGATCAAATGAAGTTTGGTTCTAGATAAGTTAAATTCAATAAAACCTCTATTATCTTAAAATCTTTGGAAACAAATTCTTAGAAGTGTACTTTATTATAAAGCTGATAGAGCTACCATATAAAGTGCATTAAATTTAACTAACAATTTTAAATACAATAAATGTAAACAGAATGTTTTAGATTTTGGAAATTCTTCACATCAAGAAAGCCCTCATGCTTTGTCAAAAGTGGCTGTATACACCTGTGATTATATTAGGACAGACCAGATGCGATCCCAGATCCCACATGTACCGGGTTTTCTATTTCTTGCCTCATTGTAAACTTGCTTCTTTCCATTTCTGATTTTCTGGCTTTAGTTCCACTGGTCTTACAAACATGTTAATAGAACATATTCTAATACATAATGAGAAATGAAAAGCATTAAAACCTAATGAGATTTCCAGAGTTAAGCACAAACTTCAATGATTATAACTTCCAACGGTTTCTCTGCATCTATTTTTCAGATAAATTATGGCTCCCTGGCCTAAGTCCTAAAGCCATAGAAACTTACAGTAGTAACTTTCCCTTTTTCTACTTTACCATACCCGTGGTTGAACTTCTTTCAGCATTGCACTAGCATCATCATCATAATCCAGTTTACAGGCAAGAGCAAGATCATGGGCTGCTTCTTCCCAGTGGCCCAAAAGTCTGAAATAAGTTTAAACTCATTACAAAGAGCCTTTTATACATAGTCACCCTATGTAGCACAGCATCTGTCTTCCTTAAAGGAAAAGAATTTTCCTATAAAAGAGCTTTAATTATCATTAACAATATATTTTCATATATTGTTCATATACCAGTTCAATATAGTGTTTAGAGTATGATTAACAAAGAGTTTCAAGTTCTTCTATGGTAATTGTAAAGTTGCTCTATTAAAACAATGTTTAAAATTTAAATAAAAAATTAATTTCTTAATTCAGAGTCACAAGACATTTTAAAGAGTATGTACAACAGGAACTTTCAACACATCAAAAAAGGATTAACATGATTTATACTTACTTGCATGTTACTTTCTAGGTGAAATAAAAGGACAAAACTGCTTAAAAAAGAAGAGTAGGAACTAAAGGTTGGTAGGGGTAGGTAAGAATGGGGTTGTAAAGGTTAGCAACGGAAATAAGAGTTACCTGGGTATATCTTTTAACTCAGATGTGGTTGTGTTTGTTTGTTTTAGGTACTGAGGATTTAACCCAGGAGTGATATACCACCGAGTGATGTCCCCAGCTCTTTTTATTGAGACACGGTCTCATTAAATTGCACAGACTGGCCTCAAACTTGTGATCCTCCTGCTTTAACCTCCCAAGTTAGTGGGATTAAGGAATACAACACTACATCCAGCTAACTCACAGTTTTGACTCTTTGAACATGTAAATATTTTACAGACTCAAATAAAACAAAGGCAGGTACAGCAGTGCACACCTGTGATCCCAACTCTTGGGAAACTGTGGCAGGAGGACCACAAGTTTAAGGCAACTGAGCAAGACCCTGTCTCACAATAAGATTAAAAAATGACACTAATTTTATTAAAAAAGTTTGGGGATGTTGCTCAGTGGTAAAGTGCTTGCCTACATATGACTAAACCCTTGGTATAGTCTGAGGCACTACAAATCAATCAGCCAGAAAAGAAACAAAGCAAACTCTAAACCTGATTACAAACAGAAATAAGCTAACTGTATACTGACAACACAAACAGAAAAAAAATGAATTAAAGTAACTAAATACCATATTATATATTCTAAGTGGGATATATTCTAAGGATGAGAACAGCAAAAAATACCTTCAAACTTTACTTACAGGGTATATTGTTTTTAAGGCGTAATTATGAAACAATTTTACTTAAATTGTAGAATTACACCAATAAATGTATTATTAGGGACCAAGAAATTCAGTGTAGAAGAAAAATGTCAAAAATACAAAATAAAAGGCAAAAGAAAACAATGTTAAATTTTAAGGGACAATATCAGCAAAAACAAAATTTCATCAATTTTTTCATGAGTTCCTAGTTACGTTCTGTGAAATGACAGTTAACGACACACCAGAGCAATGAATACTACTGCCTTAAACAATTTTACCAAAATAAATTGTAAAGCCTGGGGAAAAAAAAAAAAAGTATAAAGGACAGAAAGATCACTCTTTTCCTGGAACTAATTTTGAGAAAAAGGTCCTAACATATAACACATGTGTGGTCAATAATTGTTAACAGTAGTTTTCTTTGAATGGAAGAAGTGAAAGAATTTTTTATTTTGCGTATGTTCTTTATTATATTCTCTCAATTCTTCATATTGAGCTCATTATTACTTTGAAATTGAAGCCTTTAAACTTTTTTTTAAACAAACCACCTCAAAACATATAATATAATTAATAATACTATTTACCTGTGGGCTTTCCCTCGCCACTTGTAAGGCTGAGCTGAATCAGGATTTATTTCAATGGCTCTGTCACAGTCTCGAATGGCAGCATTTGGCTTCTGTAATTTGATGAAGACACTAAAAATATAAGAGTGGTATTAAAAAAAAAATTCATTTCAAATAATAAAGACTGGGGCTGGGGATGTGGCTCAAGCGGTAGCGCGCTCGCCTGGCATGCATGTGGCCCAGGTTCAATTCTCAGCACCACATACAAACAAAAATGTTGTATCTGCCGAAAACTAAAAAATAAATATCAAAAACTCTCTCTCAAAAAAAAAAAAAAAAAAAATAATAATAATAAAGACTGCTTGGGATTACTATGGCAGCAATTCTATTCAAACACTAAATAGAAGAAATTCTATTCAATGTTTCTATTCTATTCTAGGAGAAGAAATTATGCAACAAGGGGTGCTTTTCTATTTCGAGTTCTCACCTGGCTCTCTTGGCATACAGAATGGCCAAGCGAGGATTTAGCTTGATAGCATCTGTGAACAAGTCAATGGCTTTCTGTAGTTCACCTAAAGTAAAATAAAAGTTGAGAAATGTTCAGAAGATAAAAGTTTTTTTAAAAGACTAGTTGACGCTGTAGCTCAGTGGTAGAGGGATAGCCTCCCAAGTGTGAGGCACTGGGTTCAATCCTCAGCAGCACATAAAAATTAAAAAGATATTTATGTCTATCTTCAACAACAACAACAAAAAAGGTAGGGTTCCCATGAAGCCCTGCGTTCAAACCCCAGATCCACAAAATATAATAAAAAACTGGCTCTTGAAAGCAAACTTTACCATTCCTCTGTGGCAGCTCACTCAATACAGACAATTTGGGGATATATAAGATCTCTCCAACCAAGAACAAGATGCCATATTCTTAATTTGAAATTTATTCACTAGATCCCATATTCATAGTTAGCTTCTTTATTTATCTCTTATGTGATTTCTCTTAAATGAAATTATTCAACAAATAAAAATATACCACAGAATTAGAACAGTTCTTTGCACAAAGTCTAATACTTCTTGGGGAGGCAAGACAAACAATTTTAAAACAAATATCACAATTCACTGAGAATAATATTTATACAGTTAGCGAACATGTAAACAACTTTAATAGAACTCATAAAAATATCAGAAAACATTTAATTACATTAATTATTAATTACTACATATATCACAAGAGGAATTACAACTGAATATCTAATACACAACTCAGATCTACCGTGTTCAAAAGTTAGCTCTTACTTCCTATTCCAACTCCAAATCTATTCCAAATCTCTATTTTCCCAATCAAATAAATAAATAAAAGGCTCATCAGGCTCAGAACTTGATAAACTTTCTGGAAAGGGCTAAGTAAGAATTCTTTGCAGACCAATAAATTTGTTGTAACTATTCAAAGATGATGATGTGGTAGGAAAGCAGTCACTGTTAAGTACCAGACCTGGATTCACACCAAGGGATTCTGGTGTATAGTACAGTTTCTCACTACATTCCTGCCTCTTGAAATCAAAGTATCTTTGCTATTGTGAGGTATGAATTCACCATGCCTCATTGAGAATGCTAGTGTTTCATCATTTAGAATATACTATAAAATTGCACAAAATCTAAAGTAAGAACCGGGTCAAACTTATAAGTACATAAACAGGGAGCTTGGAAATAAAAATAAAAACATGACTTATTAGAGGCAGTGCTTCATTTTTATTGTTAAATACTGCTGAGACAAATTTAAAAAAAAAGATAGTAGGCCAAAATGATTGACAATTTAAAAAAAAAAAAAAAGGTGACACTATGGCAAACATCCTGGGTAAATCACAACTTGATGAGTCCCCCAGGTTTTTGCTCCATAAAATAGGTGATTATGAGGTTTTTAATGAAATAATATACACAAAAACATATTGAACTTTCCAGGCATGCAGGGTATTAAATGTTAAACAGAAATTCTAGGTGGTAGGGTAATTTAAGATTATTGTGGAACAGAAATGGTTAGGAAAAACACTGGTTGGGAACAACTGATGGGTACAAATTAAAGACTGCAATAGGTGAAAAAGAGCTCTGTAGTAGTAGTAAAGCACATGTAAAGGGAGACAGGTCTGACCAGAATGGAAGACTAATATTCCAAAATAGAAGAAAACAAAGATGGAGAGGTAAAATATGGAGTCTGACTCTAGCACTCTGATAGGATATGACAAATCTTTAATATGTACATAAAAAAGTCACAAGTAACAAGCAGAAGAGCAATACAATAAAAAGTAGTTCTTATATAATCTTGGGGCAGTGAACAGAAAGCAATAAAGAAAACATATTTTGGGGGCTGGGGATGTGGCTCAAGTGGTAGGGCGCTCGCCTGGCATGCGTGTGGCCCGGGTTCAATCCTCAGCACCACATACAAACAAAGATGTTGTGTCCGCCGAAAAACTAAAAAATAAATATTAAAAAATTCTCTCTCTAAAAAAAAAAAGAAAGGGAAAAAAAAATTTCAGGTGGGCAAACTAAACGCAGTTGCTGTATAAGCTTGTATAAATTTGTTACAGGGATAAGATTATCCTGCTCCCAAAACAAAAACAATAATAAATAAAAAACCTGAATATATCTGCAACTTGGAACAATACTGAACTCATTCTAAAATATAAAATAAAATTGTACTCATTCTAAATCTTTGCATGAAGTCCAAATGCATACCAGCATTGTGACAGCATCTATTTAAATACAACCTTGTGACACTCTATCATACAAACAGGTTTGTGTAACATATTACTGATAGTAGCCAGGAACAGTGATACACACCTGTAGTCCCCAAAACTCAGGAGGCTGAAATAGGAGGATCTCAGGTTCGAGACCAGTCTCAGCAATCTAGAGATACCCTAAGCAACTTAGACTCTGTTTCAAAATAAAAAAATAAGGGCTGGGGTTGTGGCTCAGTGGAAGAGCACTCACCTAGCATGTGCGAGGCACAGGGTTAGATCCTCAGCACAATGTAACAATAAATAAATAAAAATAAGGCTGAGAATGTAGCTCAATCATAAAACACTGAGTTTTACTGGGTTCAATCAGCAGTATATAGGGGGGGAACCCACAAAACACATTTATGCAATTATTAAATTATAACTCATTACGCCTTACACTAAATACTATCAACCCTCTTCCATTTTGATAGGATTTTTTTCAAACATGCAGGGAAAGATGAGAGTTATATACCTATGAACATCTATCAAGGGTGCTATTATATAAAATAATTCTAAGGTTTACCACTACTTTTGGTGGGGGTGTGAGGAGTGACAAGGGTTCTTTCCTCTTTTTAAAGCTTCTCATAAAAGAAACACCATGATACCCTCAGGAAAGCAGAGGCTATTGAGTACAATCAGGATCTATCATGCTCCCAAGCATCATCTCTGACACTGAGTGATTCCAGCATCTACCAGCATGATAACAAATGTAAGTTCCCTTCAATTTTTCCACTATTTAATTGTCACTGCAGTAGCAAGGAGAAAAACAACATACTTACCATCATTCAGGGCTTCAATGGCAGCCCCTTTCTTTTCATTTGCTTGATCCATCATCTCCTCGGTTATCTGAGGAAATTGAACATTATCTTAGTAGTAAGGAAAGCAAAAGGAGGAAGCAAAAATTTTTTGGACTTTCTTGAAATTAAGGATGTTACAAACCACATTTTCGTTCATTCTCGAGATTAATCACAATAAGTGATTAGTAAGAAATTATAAAGAATGAGTATTATCATTTGTAAATGAGGTGTTCCTCAAAGGCTCCTGTGTTAATGAAGGACATTCGCAAGTAAAATGCCTGACTTGTGAGAGTTGTAACCTAATAAACCTGTCCTAGATTAAAAGGACTGAGTAGTGACTGAAAACAAGTGAGGCATGACTACAGGAAGTGATTCTGTGATGATATGCCATGGAAGGGGGTCCCTTTCTCCCTGCCACTCCTTCCTAACCCTTCCTGGCTGTGTGCAGCTGTCCTCCACCATGCCCTTCAGACATAATGTTCTGTCTCAACCTGCTGTCTGTGGACTAAGACCTCTGAAACTCTGAGTCCCAAATAAATTCCTTCCTCTAAGTTGTTCTCGTCAGCTATTTTGGTCACAGTGACACACAGGTGACCAAACCATGAGCTTTTAACCTTTTGTGGGGGAGAGTGGAAGTGGGAAACCTGGAGATTGAACCCAGGGGTACTTAACACCTGAGCCACATCCCCAGCCTGTTTTTGTTTTGAGACAGAGTCTTGGATAGGTTGCTTAGGGCCTCGCTTTCAACTTGCAATTCTCCCTCAAACCCACCCCCCCCCCGAACTGCTAGGATTACAGGTGTGTGTCACCGTGTACTGCAAGCCTTTTCACTAAACAAACTTCACTTTCCATACTAAGCTCTAGACATGACCTTTGCTTTGCTCCATCCTGAACAAAGCATGATTGTTCTGCCCTAGCTTTACCACCACCTTCACAAAAATACTAAGAAAACTACACAAAAATACGAAGTCCTATCTCCTCACAGATAACTAGTTCCCTTTAAGCTTGAACCCTCATGTCTCATTTATTGCCATAAAAATATAATAAAAGATGTTGACAGTAGAAAAGTTAAAAAAAACAAAAACAAAAAAAACTTTCAGTAAATAGACTATCTTAAACAGACATTCAGAAATAGTTCCTTTAATCACATCTACTTTACCCCCACCACTGTAGAAAACAGTGCCTGGAGGTGCTGGCTAATTCATTAAGAAAATGATTTGATAGGTTTAAGAATCAAAAGGAATGTAGCCGACTGTCTTTCTTCTTTATACCTATCTAGAAAATCCAAAGGCACTGACAAGTTATTAGATATAGTGAGACAATTCAACAGTTGTCAGGTATAAGAGCAATATTTAAAAACAAACAAAAGCCAGAGTTCCTCCACACCAGCAAAAGTCATTTATAAAATGTTATAGAACAAGATAATGGGGCTGGGGATGTGGTTCAGTGGTAGAGTGCCTGACTGTTATGAGTGAGGCCCTGAATTTCATAGCCAGTACAGTCAAAAAAATAATAAAAATTGTAATAAACAAGATAATAATTACAACAGAAACTAAACCTAGGACACATAGTTTATAAGAGCACACAAGAGGAAAAAATAAAATTCTATTAAAGAACAGCTCAGCGGCAGAGCGCCGGCCTACCATGTGCAAGGCCCTGGGTTCGATCCTCAGCACCACATAAAATAAAATAAAGATGTTGTGTCCGCCGAAAACTGAAAAATAAATATTGAAAATTCTCTCTCTCAAAAAAAAAAAAAAAAAAAGTTGTTGGGCTGAGGATATGGCTCAGTGACAGAGCATTTATCTAGCATGCACAAGGCCCTAGGTTTAATCCTTAATACCCCCACCTCAAAAAGAAAGAAAGAAAAGATATAATAAATATAATAAACTCCTCAGAAATAATCCTACTACAAATCCAGAGTAATTTTATCTTATTTTTGCAGTACTAGGGATTGAACACAGGGCACTTTACCACTGAGCTATACCCCAAGCCCTTTTTATTATTTTGAGACATGGTCTCACGAAGTTGCATAAGACAGACTTGAACTTGCAGGTTCAAGCAGGTGCTTCAGCCTCCCTAAGTCACTGGGATTACAGGGATGTGCTACTACACCCAACTATGCCTGAGTAATTTCAGAAAAATCATTAGCAAAAAAAACCACTCTGTTTCTGGCAATATGGTAATCACAATATCCTGAAAAACTCTAAAATCAACCAAGCTTTGTTGGAAGAATGTAACAACATTAAATGAAGGCTGGACTTCAGTGATGTACCCAAGTGCTCAATCTGTTTTTCACCCTTGTAGCAGGTGTCAATCCTGACACATTACAACATTGTTTCTGAAAGTAATACAGTACACCAGACACAAAGTATGTAGATTCAGATGAAGAGAATGTATGTCATCTGACCAGACAATGCCCAAGATAAATCTCAGACTCCAAAGACCTACACAGGTAAGCATAACAGAAAACCAAAAATAAACCTGTCCCACACAAAGGAACATTGAAGTAGAGGAAAAAAAGGGGAAAAAGAACCTCTCCTGAGTAGTCAAAAACAAGAGCTGGACTCTTATTTGGAATTCCACCATTACCTGTATAGTTAAAAACATATAAACAAGTTTTGTAGTGCCAAGTCCAGGGCTTTGATGTAAGCAAATATACTCCCATTTGGAGGAACATACCTTCTACACAGGCCTCAAAATTTTTCCAAACGCGAGACTCAATGAACCAAAGAACTCATGGTCAAAATAAAACATACACATACAGCACAAGTAAACAAGCCACGTCAATGAGCAAGAGCCAGAAAAAAATGAGAGAGTAAGACCAACAAAAGTTCTACAGAACTTAATGTATTTAATAAAATCAAATTCTGAAAATGGGTAAAAAGCAAGACTTAGAAAAACCAAGTACACTTTAAAAAGAATCAAAGTGAAAGTATCAAAATGGCCCCTACCCCCCCTACACACACACACACATTGGAGACTAAACTCAGGGGCACTTTATCTCTGAAAAAAATCCCTAGACCTGTTTTAAAATTTTGAGACAGGGTTTTGCTAAAATGCAAAGGCTGCCCTCAAACTTGTGATGTTCCTGTGTCAGCCTCCCAGGTAAGTGGGATTACATGTATGTGCTACCACAATCAGCTGAAAAACATAAAACACTACAATTAAAACATCAATGGAACATCAATGGACTAGAAAAATACACATAATTCAGTACAGAATAAAAAGCTAAAGCTTAATAGTGAAAAAAAACTCCCATATATCTAATCAGGTTGCAGAATAAGGGAGAAGAGAAAATATGGAGAACTAAATATTTTGAAGAAATACTTGAGATGTTCCAGTGCTTAAGAACATTAACAACCTTAGAATTTAAGATGCCCAATGAATCCCAAATAGAACAGACAAGAAGTTACTAGAAACATAGACACACTGAAGTGAAATAATCCAATCAATAAACAGATCATACAATTTTAAAGGATTTCTTTTACAAATGATGACAAAAAGTACTTGCATCTATTCTTGACAAACATGCATAAGACAGGGAAAATGTTACAGGTTACTGAAAGACATTTTTAAAAAAGAATTAAAAATTAGATACAAAAGTCACAGATAGTTAATCTCAAGAGGGGAGGTTATGTTCTCTCCCTAACTGGATTTAGAATTAATACATTTCTAGTGGGAGAAGCTTAATTTGGAGGAAGAGAGATTTCACAATCTGATTCTGAAATTTATACAGAAAAACAAAGGGCCAAAATACTCCTCAAGTTTTAGAGGTCCTTGTCCTACCAAGTGACAAGGTTTATATGTTAAAGACAATGAGGCATTAGAGCATAGAAAAAATTAGGCAAATACAACAAAAGACCACCAACCCAAACACATATGAAAACAGTATTATTTTTGCATCAGAGAGAAAAGGAATTCTTCAATAATGACACTGACAGGTAAACTATAGATCAGTAAAAGCAAAAGAGAAACAACCTAGTTGAAAAACTGGGTAAGGGTCTGAACAAAATTTATAAATAACTGAAAGACATTATAACACTCAACCTTGTTAAGAAATCAGGAAAATGCAAATTAAAAACAAGAAAGACATATTAGTTCACGTGACAAGTCTGGCAAAGATCAAATCTGACAATATTAAGTTTGAGGATAGACCAATATTTTAAAAGTTGCTATTACTATGTTCGAGTGCTTCTAAGCATTTCCCCCCATCAGCCACTGATAGACCCAACCTGATCTTTTCTCAAAATTGGGAGCCATCTCACCACAAACCATGAAAAGATAATTTCGACTTTACTATAAATTACTACAAATTCTGAACCTGCTTGGAATGCCTGCCCGTGCCTTGAACTCATCCATGAGTTCAGCCCTCTGACCAGATAGCAGCCCTCTCTGAAACTTTAGTGACGCCTCACAAATCTTGGCCTTCCCTGGCCAGATAACGACCCTCTCTGAGACTCTAATGACCTTCATAAATTCTGATGTCGGGGCCAGCAAAAATGTAAACTAGCATTAGTGTCATGCTCCTCAGAGTTCTGTTATCCGTAACCCCCCTTTGTGTAACTTTCTGGGCTATAAAGCTGGGCTGCAGGAAAGCTGCGGCTGCTGTCTTGTTCCCGCGGTTTTGCATGGGAGAGGCAGCCGAAATAATAAGCTTGCTTTAATTTGATTTTAATTGGAGTCAGTGGTCTTTTCTTGCGTCCTGGTCTAACACCACCAGGAAGATTTTACAGATTTTCCTAATTTCATTTTTTGTTGTAGTTGTTCTTTTTTGGTACCTGGGATTGAACTCAGGGGCACTTACCACTAAGCAGCATCCTCAGCCCTATTTTCTATTTTATTTAGAGACAGAATCTCATTGAGTCACTTAATACCTCACTTTTGCTGAGGCTATCTTTGAATTCACGATCCTTTTGCCTTAGCTTTGGGCTGCTGGAATTGTAGGTGTGCGCCACCTGCCTGGCCAGTTTTTCCTAATTTCTGCCCTACTGCATATAACCTATAACATATGTTCGTGTACCAGAACCCTTTGGAATACCACTAATCACTGTAAAATCTAAAATTTTTTCAAGGTTCAGGAATCAAATCTCTCAATCTTTGAAGGTTCCCTGTGACAAAACCATTTTGGAAAACTGTGTGGCTTTAGATATCCCACTAAGACACAATTCTTTAAGTATATAGTGAATGTTACTAACTTTATAGAGCAATCAAACCAGATGCAAACTTAAAGACCAAACAAAATAACAGGAGATTTTCACAAATCAAGTTTTTATGTAATAAAATAAAATGCTTAACTAAATGCCTTATTTTTTTAAAATAGTTTTTGGAGGTTGTAGATGGGCATAATATATTCATTTCATTTACTTAGTTTTATATGGTACTAAGGATCCAACACAGTGCCTCACATGTGCCAGGCAAGCACTCTACCAAAGAGCCACAACCCCAGCCCCAAGCCAAAGATTTAATATGTGCTTTTCTGGAAGTCATGTTGTAAAATAATTCCAACAGTGGGAAACTTTATATTCTTTATAACAAACAGAGAATGAAACAGTGAACTTACCTCCGCATTTTCATCTCCCATTTCTTGAGGAGCATCAGTGTCTGGTTCAATTACACCTTCATTATCAATTTCTGCCAAAGATGAGAAAAGAACATTAAGGCCTGCATTGTACAAAGCAGATCCACTACCCTCACAGAAGTATTAAAAATGGATGGACTATGACCAGCATAACTGAGTTGAGTATTTGTATATTCAGTTTGTATTCATATTTGTGTTCAGTTTTGGCCTGTGTGGGGAGCCACTCTGAATGGTTCATGCCTTCCATCCTGGAGAGAAGAGGTTTTGACAGGTCACTACATCTCAGAGTGACCTGGACATTGTCACAGTCCAGGAAGTTTGAGGGCGTGTCTTCAGACGTAGGCATGTCTCCCCATGGATTGAGCTACACCCACGGGTTCTTTTGTAATATTACCCCTTTGTCCTGTCTGGGATCCAATGTTCCATGGAAACGCCCTTATTGTGCCCCCTTCTCTTGCTCTGCTTTTGGGTGTGGACTTTCTAGATGTCAGTCAACTTGCTACTGACTCTTTGCCTCATTTGAATGGCTTCTCCTTAATAAAAGGGTTCAGCACCCGCTTGCTTGCTCTTTCTTTGGCCCCTTGTCACAGGACCTCAAAGAAAAAGGTATCTCTGTCTCTTGTGTGGTTATTTTGTGCAGCCCAGTTCCCCTGGAGTGACCCTGAGTGTTTTAGTTGTGAGGAACTCGACTGGCCAGCATAACTAATTTGAATATTTTAATTGTAATACCTGTTAAGTATAATTTTATTGTTTTAGGAAGACTTACAACTTCAACTGCTGCATCATAATGGATAATTATAATTGGATTGTAGTGGGAATGTTGGCTTGTCCATACTTTCTAGTATTATACATAAATACAATAATGACTCAGTGTTAAAGCAATGCAGATCAAATAAATTTTTTTTTCTACACAATAATCTACTACAATGTGAGTTCAAGCCAGGCATGGTGACACACACCTGTAACCCCAGCAACTCGGGAAGCTGAGATAGGAGAATCACAAATTCCTGACTGGCCATCAGAAATTTATCGAGGACCTAAGCAATTTAGCACGACTATCTCAAAATAAAAAAAATAAAAAGGACTGGAAATGTAATTCAGTTGTAGAGCATCCCTGGCTTCAATCTCTAGTACCAAAAAATAAAATATATAAAATATATGAAGTAATATAATAATGTACAGTAATGTAAAATATGAAATACTATGTAATTTTAACAGACTTATTATATACTAAAATATAATGTGGACAAATTTCAATTTTAAAATAGACATACTACTGATTCAAAAAATCAAGTCCTATGGCTAGTATTATAACCAAAACAGGAAAGAATGAAAAGAGGCATGATGCAAATTTTGGGTGGAAGGACAATTACCACTTATACCAACAGAGCAAAACAACTTACATACAAAACATTTTAAAGTTACAAAGCGGTTGCACACCCCTATAATTTGGGAGGCTGAGTCAGGAAGATCACAAGTTCGAGTCCAGCCTCAGCAACTTAGTAAAGCCCTGAGCAACTTAGTAAGACCCTGTCTCAAAATAAAATATATAAAGGGCTGGGGAAAAACTGAGTGGTGACTGACAATTAACACTGTATTAAGGTTGACAATGCTTTGTTTGGGGGGGGTCCAGGGATTGATAGGCGCACATGCTCTACCACTGCTACATCCCCAGCTGCCAACGTTGTGTTAATGAAAGTATACTTCTATGTGTCATAAAACAATTCCTCTCATTAAGTTAATTAACCTATCCATCATCTCACATATTTACTTTTCAGTTTTTTGGAGATAACACTTTAGATCTTATCTCAAGAAATTTTAAGCACACAGCATATTAACTATAGTCACCATGTTGTACATTACACTCAAGAATTTAGTCAACTTATTGGGCCGGGGTTGTTGCTCAGTGGTAGAGCACTCAGGAGGTCGAAATAGGAGGAACACAAGTTCAAAGCCATCTCAGCAAGTCTTAGCAAGGCACTTAGTAAGGCACCATGTATAAATAAATAAAAGGTCTACTGACAACTAAAACAATATTTTTTAAAAAAGAGAACTTGGTCAACTTCTAACTAAAAAGGTTAGAGACTTTGAGAATGGTACAACAACAAAAATGTTTAATCCGTTTTAACATAAACTGAGCTTGTCAAACTAAGTTTGATTTGTGCATATAAAATGCTTTTGGGGGAGAATCAGTAAAATTTAATTATAGTTATCAAAATTGAGAAAAACAAAAAAGACACTTTATAAAAAATAAAAAACTTTCAATTAAGCCACCAAATTGCACTTAAGACAATACCTAACAATACTGAATATCAACTGATTTTCAAAAGTTGAAAAACTCCCAAGTATTTTTCTTTAGCTTTTAGATTGATTTTGTGACAAAAAGACTGCCCAATTAATAACTGGAGTATATTTATAGTCTCAAAACCTCCAAATTTTTTTTTCTGTGGCCTTGAAAACAAAACCAAAAACCACATTCATGGCATAAATATTAATTCTTCTAAATATGAACCAATTTTATCAACATGGATCCAAGTACTAATGGAAAATATTTTTTGTTACTGAATTCAGTTAATAGAAATATTTTAAAATATGTTGAATACAAATTGAGTATGTGACCACCCAATATTTCAAATACAAATGTCAGAAGTCTGAATTATTTAATGAAAATGCAACATCTGAATTGAGAGATGCTACATATGTAAAATAAACTTTGAATCTGACTTTGAAGATCTAGTGAGGAAAATAACTTAAAAACTTTTTTACATCACTACATAGTTGTTAATTTCTTCTTCTTCTTCTTTTAAATGGACGATCCTGGGGACTGAACCCAGGAGCACTCTACCATTGAGCTACATCCCCAGACCTTTTTACATTTTATTTTGACACAGGTTCTTGCTGAATTTCCCAGAATGTCTTTGAACTTGCAATCCTTCCTGCCTTGGCCTCCCAAGTAGCTGGGATTATAGGTATAATGCTCAGCTAGGTGTTATTATTCTAACCAATATATCATTGATTTAAGTAAAATTATATTTCAACAATTAATCCCTTTTCTTTTCTTTTTCAAAATATAGCTACTAGAAAACTTTTAGGGCCAGGTGCAGTGGCACAACCAGTAATCCCAGCTGCTCAGAAGGCTGAAGCAGGGGAACTCAAGCTCAAAGCCAGTCACAGCAACTTAACAAGGCACTTAGCAACTCAGCAAGACCCTGTCTCTAAATGAAATATTTTTTAAAAGGGCTGCAGATGTGGCTCAGTAATTAAGCACTTTTGGGTTCAATTCCCAGTATACAAAAAAAAAAAAAAAAAAAACCACTCTAGCATTTCATTTGTAGCTCATTAACAACAATTTCTATTAGTGCTGATTTTGTCACTCCAATAAAAACTGACCCAGCATCATAAGATCATCAAATACAAACTGTCTCCTCACCTAGATCACTTTCCTCACTTGATGGCTCATCTCTCTTAATGTTTTCTTCTGACTTCTTGCTATCTGTTTGTTCTTCCTAAGCAAAGGGAATGAAAACAGTGCTATAAGTATTTAATAACACACCATATATATAATACATAGCAGTCAACTTATAAAAAAAAAATTTTTTTAAACCCCTGGAATACTATATCAGGGACACTGTGTTGAGAGAGAGAGAATTTTAACATTTATTTTTTAGTTTTCGGCGGACACAACATCTTTGTATGTGGTGCTGAGGATCAAACCCGGGCAGCACACACGCCAGGTGCGCTACCGCTTGAGCCACATCCCCAGCTCAACTTATAAAAAATTTACATATACATTGTCCACCATTTGTTTAATTTTGGTAACCTTGCTTTAGATTTGTGTTTGTCCTTTTTGAGGTCAGCCCAGACAACCTATCAAGAACCTGCCTCCAAAACAAAACAAGACTTATGAACAGTCCATTCAGATAATATTTTACTACCAAATTTACTGTAACTTTTACTTTTCAATGGCTTTTCAATTTTGGAATTGCAAATAAGGGTCTATGGAACTATAATAAACAATTAAAATTCAAAGAATTTAAACGTATTCAAGTTGGAAACCAAATTTCTATTCCATTCAGTAGATAACCAGTGCGGTTTCTTATACATCACATATAAAATATATTTTATGTGTATGAGATAACTCTGCACTTTGCCTTTTCCCTTTAATAATGCTATGTATCTTAAGAGAATACATCATGATCAGCCCACCATAACTATCTATACATCTATATTAGATGTCAGAATTATTTAACTATTTAGGCTCCTACCTTTTAAAATCAAAATCCCCCCATAATACAAAATATTTGTTGAGTCCCTACCAAACATGAAAATCTGCTAAATACATTAGTTAGCATATACTGAAAGACCAGTCACAAGTCTAAATTAGACTGATTTTTAAAAGTTAACAGACACATAGGATAAATATAATTGTTTCCATACATTTTTTATCAAATGCAAAGTATCAAGGGCTCAGAAAATATCAAACCAGTAAAAGGACATCTAAAAGAGTAACTACTTTTTGAGCTTTTGCTTAACCTTTCTCATTACATATCATCAGAAGTTCATATGAAAAGTTCACAACTTCTATTTCTACATTTAAACAGATAAAACCATATTAATGGTTCTACATAAAACAGCAAATTAATTTAAGATAGCTAATCAAGGCCAGGCACGGAGTCACATGCCTATAAGCAAAGCAGCTTGGAAGGCTGAGGCAGGAGGATCACAAGTTCAAGCCAGCCTCAGCAACTTGGCAAGCCCCTAAGAAACTTAGTGAGACCCTATTTCAAAATAAATTTTTTAAAAAGGGCTGAGGATATGGCTCAAAGGCTAATTGCCCCTGGGTTCAAGCCATGATACAAAAAAAAAAACCCCACAAACAAACAAGATGACTAATCAGAAAACTTGGGGGAAAAAAAACAACTTTCAGACATGAAGGCACAAAATGGGAGAAAAAAAAATATGGAAGAGAACATTCTTTAAAAAAATATATATATATTTTCAGTTAATAGGTGGACACAATTTTACTTTATGTGATGCTGATGAGCGAACCTCCAGTGCCTCACGCATGCTAGGCGCACGTTCTACCTCTGAACCACAACCCCAGCCCTGAAGAGAACATCCTTAAAAATACCGCAGAGGCGTGATGCAGTGCCACATGTCTGTAATCCTGGCAGCTGGGGAGGTCGAGGGCAGGAGGATCAGGAATTAAGCCAGCCTCAGCAAAAGCAAGGCACTAAGCAACTCTGAGAGACCCTGTCTCTAAATAAAACCAAAATAGAAGTAGGCAATGTGGCTCAGTGGTGAGTGTCTGGAGTTCAATCCTGTGTACAAACTAACAAACAAAAACCCTGCAGAGTACATTTACCCCCCTCATTTCTAAACTTCACTACCGGAAACCCCCCTGATCTTATGCATCCTTCTGACAAATATGCCAAAGCAGCACAGTAACATACAACATCAGTAACATCCCTCAGGTAATAGGGCAGAAAAAATTTTTAAAAATACTGATGGGGGGGGGGGGCGCTGGGATTGTGGCTCAGCGGTAGAGCGCCGGCCTAGCACGGGCAGGACCAGGTTCGATCCTCAGAACCACATTAAAAAAAAAAAAGATGTTGTGTCCACGGAAAAACTAAAAATAAATATTAAAAAATTCTCTCTCTCTTAAAAAAAAAAAAAAATACTGATTTGGGATCCTTGTTCATGCACACCATCACATAGCTTACTGCTTATAGGCCATGCATACAACAAATGGATAACATTTATTTTAAAATCAAGTGAATTATTCAACCTCAAATTCTCAGTTTTAAATCAGCTTCCAGAAATTTGGTCTAAAAGCAAGTTTCATAAAGACAAACAAATATTTAAAAGATCTTATTTCCAAGTGACCTTGGGGAAAATTGGAAATGGTAATTTGAGAGCAGTAGTTAAAAAAATACTAAGAAATTTTACATTTTACCACTAAATGCATGAATAAAATTAAAACTTACCTTGGTATTTTCTTCTGACTTAGGTTTATGAGTAGCAGGTGGTACTTTACCCCCCATGCTTGAAGAAGATGAGAAAAAAGATATTTGTTTAGAAAATTAAATTTCACTAAGGTAAGCAACATGTTTATGCCTAAGAGATGTTTAGATGACTAACCCCTTCAAAACTTAAGTTTTTCAGTTAATTTAAATGCTTTGGTATTATTATGATCAAGTTTTTTTCAGTTTAAAATTTCATTTTTAGTATACTGGCTAATGAAGCCCTTTCCCTGTCTCCATAAATCTAAATAAAGATAACTATACAGCTTCTCTGTGCCTACTCCCAGAGGAAAATTAAAAGAGCAGTCAAGCCAGGCAAGTTGGTGCATGCCTATAATCCTAGCAGTTCAGGAGGCTGAGGCAGTAAGATCATGAGTTCAAAGCCAGCCTCAGCAATGGCGAGGTGCTAAGCAACTCAGGGAGACGCTGTCTCTAAATAAAATACAAAATAGGGCTAGGGGAGTGGCTCAGTGGTTGAGTGTCCCTTAATACCCACCCCCCACCAAAAAGAGAGCTCAACATTCAATGACAAAATCATTCATACAAATTGTTAGCTTAGAATTCAGTAGGTATATATGAACTCAAAACTTATTTCAATTCAAACACGCAGCTTACGAGATAATTATGTAGTAATAATTATTCAAACTGTTTCACCAGAGTCCTACAAGGATCATTCTTATATACATTCACATGTTCCTCACATTACACGTTTTCTCCTCATTGCTTCTAAACTTCACCCATTAAGACTTCCTCTAGGAAGTCCTCCAGCTACATGGAAGGCTGAGACAGGAGGATCACTCATTCAAGGCCAGTCTGCACAATTTAACAAGACCTTGCCTCAAAATTTAAAAAGTCAAAGAGTGGGCTCGGTTGTGGCTCAGTGATAGAGCACTTGCCTGGAATGTATGAGGCACTGGGTTCGATCTTCAGCACCACACAAAAATAATAAAGATACTGTGTCCATATACAACTAAAAAAAATATATTAAAAAAAGTCAAAGAGTAAGGCGGACATACAGCTTGCTAGTAGAGCACTTACCTTGTATGTGTGCAACTCTGAGTTTAATCTCCAAAACAGCAAATAATTTTCTGCCTTTTTTTGGTACTGAGAATTGCACCCAGGGGTGCTTTACCATTTAGTCACATTTCTCAGTTCCCTTATAAAGGAATGGATACGACAAAAATAAATAAAGTGATTATATGATCCAAAACATCTTTTTTTTTTTTTAAGAGAGAGAATTTTATTTATTTTTTAGTTTTTCGGCAGATACAACATCTTTTTTTGTATGTGATGCTGAGGATCGAACCCGGGCCGCACACATGCCCCCAAAACATCTTAATTTGTAATTCAGCAAAGTAAAATGATTCAGTGATAAGAGGCAGGCATATAAAACCCACGAAATTCTTTTCTATAGGAAAAACTACTTTTCAAAAGAGCACAGGAATCAAACATTAGCTCTTTGCAGTTAAATTTTAACGAAGTCACAGGCTTCTTAAGCTGTGTTTTTCCTAAGTTTCAAAATGCAGTGTCAGGAATGGATTTAGGGTGACATTCAAACAGTCACAACAGTGTAACTCTGGGAAGTGATATTCCTGCCAAGAAATGTATTAAGCTAAATCTAATTCTAGGAAAAAAAAAAAAAAAATCAGACAAATCCACATTGAGAAAAATTCTACGGAATAACTGACTCATAATATTTCAAACTTCAAGACCAATGTTCATGGTCATAAAATCAAGGCAAGACCAAAAAATTGTTTCACAATGAGGGAGATAAGACACATGACAACTAAGTTTAACACTGTAATTCTGAGATTTAGTTAATATTAATGTGTCCATCTTAGTTCCCCGAATTTGATGGTTTTATTTTCAACTGCCCTTGGAAATACAAATTCAACGGTGTTGAGGAGCGTAACAATGAAAGCTTACTCTCAAATCATTCAAATCAGCAAAAATAGTTCTTTGTATTGTTTTTGCTGTTTTTCTTTCAGCCTGAAATTGTTCAAAAAAATTTTAAAAATTAAGCACAAGAGAATTTATTCACAAACAGATTTGTTTCTCACATTCCAAGTTTTAGTTTCTTAACAGAATTTACAGCTACAAAGAGTTCAATTAATGCTTCCAAGATTTAGAACAAATTAGTTTCCAACAAAATATTGCCATTTGGACTTTGCCAGTATAGGATTTTATGTTGCACAATCAGGTAGAGCTAGTACAAAGGCGTTCTTCACATAAGGTCACACAAGACCATTCATAATTCTCTTAATTTCTGAATTAAAACTTTCAATCTGGGCTGGGGTTGTGGCTCAGTGGTAGAGTACTTGCCTAGCACACGTGAGGCACTGGGTTCAATCCCCAGCACCATTAAAAAATAATAATAATAAACAAATAAAGGTATTGTGTCTATTTACAACTAAAAATATTTTTTTAAAAAAAACTTTTATCTGCTTCATACTATAGGCATTTATGCAGATCTACAAAAAAAACTGGTGTTGTATATTTTAAATTCTACATTTAGGATAGAAGTACATTGTTTGGAACTCTTTTTTTAAAAAAATATTTTATTTTTTAGTTATAGTTGGACATGATACCTTTATTTATTCATTTTTATGTGTGCTGCGGATTGAACCCAGGGCCTCACAATCGCTAGGCGAGTGCTCTACAACTGAGCCACAACCCCAGCCCCTGTTTGCTACTCTTTAAAATATTTATTTACTAAGAGCCATGTGCCATGCTCTGTGCCATGGTAGGGATGGATACAAAGACACTCCCTTAAATTACCATCAAAGAAACTAATAAAAGCACAAGATATAAAATAATTATTAAATGGGAGAAACAAGGTCAGACAACACTTCTCCCTCAATGAAGAGTAAAATGAAAATATCTTAATATATTTGCTGAAAAGAACAATCTTCCTGGATTCCCCACTGATCACTATTCAGATTTTTCTCATATGTGTAATGCAAATTTCTAATATATTCTCTCTTTGTGTAATTTAAAAGGTTGTTAAGCTAAGTAATAAAACTGTAAGCCATAAACTGACAGCAATCATAGCAGATAAAATGTTCTTCAACATCTAAGACTGAGCTCCTCTGCCTAGGCACCTGTGAGAGAAGAACTCTGACATGGTTTCACCTCAAGGAATCCTAATCATACAATTGATATTCCTGGATTTAGAAGTCTCCACATTCAGTCTACTCTGCTAAAATATTAATATAAGTGCAAAGAAAGAAAATGATACCAGCCCAATTGAAGTTTTCAAAGCCCATAAAAATGAAAGTTTAATATAGCAAAAACTTCTGTTAAAATTCCAATCTGATTAAGTTCAAAATAAGACCTCTACACATGGGGATACTTCACTCCATACTCACTTGCACAATTTAGACTTTCACAAGAAAAATATGGAATCAAAAAATAAAAGCTGGAATTACCTATAAGAAATATTAAAGTAAGTAAAATGCATGATTATTTTGGGGAACAGTAAAATTGAGCAAATATTTTGCAGATCTTAAATTATGACTCTCTAATATAGCAATAATCTAATTTCTCCAGCACAAGATACAACATTGGTCTTAGGCTGTTTTAAATTTTCTTCAGTGTCCTCCTCCTCCTCTCTGGTGAGAAATGAAAAAAAGTTGTGTTCACTCACTAAAATGTTCACTCTTGGTGCCAGCTATTTTTTCCTGTGATTTATCTGTTTTACCTGGCATTTTAGGAATAACTTATTAATTATAGGATCTTTCCTATAACAACTAAGTATCAGAGAATAAAAGTACAGAAATATCTTAGGTGAGGTTTTTGGAACCAGTTATTCAACAGAGAAAAGGATTAAAATTTAGTCCTCAATTCCTACTCCCCACATTTATCTGAGTTGGTTTTGTTTTTGAGGAGGAGTTAGGATAATAGGATTCTTGTTGACTGTTAACAATAGTTTTTTTTTAAAGTTACTATAATAATTTTAAATGTTCTCTGAGTAAAAATTTCAGTGCTCAAAAACTGGTGGGGCAAAAAAAGACTGAAAAACTTCTTAGAGGAAAAAAATTAAACCATATAGATTTTAACGTACAGTTTCTCCCTTAGAACAAGCTTGCTCAAAGAAATGCTCATCCAAGCGTTTAATAATCATGAGTTCACTTTCCCTTATAAAATTATTACTAGAACAAATTACCATTTATGATATTGTGGTAGTTAGATCTTAGAGGAGTCACAGTGCTTTTCAGTTATTCATTCTAGTGAAATGCAATCTGCGTTTTATCTCTCTCCCTTCTTTTTAAAGAAGTGGTCTTGCTACACTGCCAGGCTGGCCTCCACTTCCTGAGCTCAAGTGCTCTTCCTGCCTCAGCCTCCTCTGTAGTTGGGACTACAGGCACGCGCCACTCCAAGGCTATTTATCGCTTTTAAATTCCCCACTACTAGTGGTATTTTTTTCCGAAGGATTGAACACAAAAGCCTCTCGCTAGTAGCGATCCACCCCCAATCATCTCCCGGGGGGAAGGTTTCAAGTAGTACTCCAACATACAGACTGATAACCTCTATTATAAAGTTAAACTTACAACTAATTTTTGTTATCTATCCGTTTGTATTCCTAAGGAGGCACTACTCATACAGTTTCCCAGCAGTTGGCAAAGCGCCTGTTTACTTAGTTCCTTGCGCCTGAGGAGGTACTGTGCAGTTCAAGAGAACCAAGACCACATGCTGGAAACGAACTAGTTCTTGAAAAATCACCTTCCTCCAAGTGTCTGCAGTGATAGTAACAGTGTGAACGGAGGTATTTTAAGTGATTTCCAAGATAACTGTTTCTACGCAGTTAGAATAGTTGTAAGATAAAAGTGAGGAAAATCTAATATAGTGACTCTTATTATAAAAGTTATTATCTTACATAATAGCGAATAAAGGAGCTCCTATGTGTCAATGCGACCTAAGCAGGACGCCAGAGGGGGGGGAAACCTACCCCGCACGCCTTCATTCTCATCCCTCTCCCTTGCTCTTCAGGTCTCCGGGGCCCCTGTCCTTGCAATCGGCTGCGTCCGCCTTGTCCAACACACACCGTGGGGCTTTGGCAGGGGCGACCTCAGATCTGCCCCTGACTCCCCAGCTTCTGCACTACCCAAGGCTCCGGACCCTCCATTAACCACTCCAGGTGGCCTACCTTCCCGGCCAGGGAGCGAAGCCACCTAGGGGCCCCGAGCCCGCGCCCCGCGCCAGCTCCGGCCCAGGCCGCCCCCAACTGTCCCTGGGCGCGGGTCTCACCTCTCCACCCACTCTCTCAGGAAGCGCATCTCCTCGGTGTGCAGGACGCTCGGATCCTGCTTACACATTTTCACGAAGGCCCGAAGCTCGCTCACTTTGCGGGGATCCATGGTCGAGGAGAGGCAGGCGGAGGCGGCTGCGGCCCGTTCCCAGGCCCGGGCGCTGGCTCAGCGTGACCGCGCAGAAGGGGGCGGATGCCGCGAGGCCGAACAGACTAGAACCTCCCCGGCCGCTGGCTCCTCCCCCTAACGGCCTCGTGACCCTGGGTCCTTCGCTCGCTCAGTCCGTCTCCCTCTACCCGTGCTCCTGCGCGCTGCCTAGAACCTTCTAGAAATGTGGCTGTTCGCGTTATTGCCTGCCTCTCTCGCCAACATTCTCAAATGTTTTCTTCTGATTGGAGTTCCCCAGGACGGGTCCAGCCCTCTTCCTGGGCACTTTGAAGCGAGCTGGAAACAGCCCTTCCAGTGAACCACTGGAATCAGACACTCTGGGAAGGTGGGCGTTAAGTGGTACGTGAAGCCCTAATGAAAAAGGGCCCCGCGGCCAGAATGCCGGGTGCGGGCGTTGATGTCAGCATTCTGCGCCGCCGCAAGAGGAAAGCCCGCGAGCGGCGCCAGCCGGAAGGGGTGGGGCGGTTGGTCCGGTTTCCTGGCGACGCGGCTGTGCTGGTGGCTCCTTCGCGGGCTGATTCCCTTTCTTTTCCTGACGTGTGAGCTGGCAGTTATGCTTTGGCTACTCTCTACTCCCAAGCTGGTTCCTGCTTTAGCAAGCGCCCGCGGCCTCTCAGGTTAGACTCTTCTCTCACGGTGTCCCCTCCAGGGCTTGTTCTTGGATTAACCTGAGGCGCCCCAGAGGTAACTAAGTTGGTCTCAGGCGATCCCTGGCTCTGCGGATCCTTCTCCTGCGGGTGCCTCCGCGGATTTCTTCTTTGTCGGCTGCTCCTGGAAAGGGTGGGCCCCCAGTTCTCTCTACCATTGAGGTATTCTGGGAAGCTTAAATGACTGCAGAGAGAAAAGTGTGTGCCATCCCCCGGAGGGACTGTCTTCAAAGTTACTCGGACTCAGAAGTTTTGTCAGTTATCATCACACTCGCTTAGGTGACAAAGTCTTTCACATCAAGTCGTTCTTGTTTCTGTTAGGTCAACCAAAAATCCTGTTTTAAAAGAGTTGATTCCAGAGCTGGCTCCGGAATATACAAGAAATATGTTTGGTAACAAATCTTTTGAGCAGTTTCTCTCAGATTTCCAAAGATATTTGGAAATGCTGCAGGGGTTTGTAATTTTTGTTTGTCATGTCTGAAAATTTTGTTTGTAATGACAAGATGAAGGAGCCCAGGAACAAGGGGAACCATGTTTTGTCGGTTGTCCTCTATCGCGAAACATTAATCTGATGGACAAAGTTTAAAAGTGAAAACTGAATCATCTATTTTGCGGACAAATCTGCCATCGGATCATATTTCAGTTTGGGGGACCAGTATGGGAACCAGATATGATATGATACTGGATATCAAAGCTATGTTTTGGCATTTATGATGTTATATTTGGACTCATTGAAAATGGAATGTAATATTACCAACTTACCTCTTTCCTATAAAAACCAAATCACCATCCAGTGCACAGAATTACTCTTCAGTTCTAATAGTAAAGCTTTATGCAGAAAGCTGGTGGGAAGAGGTGAAAAGATAGATTGTACGATTGATCAATCTTAATCATAGAAACCAGTCTTATGATTGAGCTGGAACCATCCTTTGCTTGTGACCTTTGGTTTTCTTGAAGCTTTGTAAAACCCAGTTGATCGAGGTAGGACTAGATACTACATTATACATACCAAGATCTTTACAAAATTAATTCATTATCCTTCAGTTTACTTCCATAGAATAAGCAAGTTTTTAACTCGATAAATGAATGATCTTGAATCTTCTTAAGTCCGAGAAGGAACTTAAAACACAGGATGATGGTTCACAAGTCAGGGATTTTACATCAAGCACCTTGTATAGTATTGTATCTAGTCCTTTTTGTTATAGCACCAGTATATCTAGGTAATTTTGGAACTTTTTATTCATCAAGTGAGCCACGAAGAATGCATTTTAATGCAATAAGTAACTTTTTTCCTTGGGATGTAGGGGATTGAATCCAGGGCTTCACACATGCCAGGCAAGCACTCTACCAGCTGAGCTACTTCCCCAGTCCCTCATTAACTTTTTAAATTAGTCATTGTGGATGGATTGCCACTTCCCTAGATTGCTCAGTCTGGTCAAAGGGAGATAGACAAACAATAAATGACACTGTAGTTGAGTGTGATAATAGTCTTGACCAACGCTACAGATAACACTATAGCTAAGTGTGATAATAGAGTCTTGACTCCAGTGACAAGGAAAATAGTCATGAATTGTAAATACTATGTTACCCTGGAATTTTGTTACATTTTAGAGTTTGAAAATTCCATGCCTGAGGTACTCATCAGTAAACCTTTGAGTATCTGTAGTTGTTCTTCCTTAGAAAGGCTTTGGGTGCAGAAAGTTGAATACTGTAGGAGACTTGCTTATCTGTGAAAGTCATGCATTCATACCTGGCATGGTAGCTCACACCTGTAATCCCAGTTAGTCAAGAGGCTGAGGCAAAAGGAGCATGAGTTCAAAACCAGTCTCAGCAACTTAGTGAGGCCCTAAGCAACTTAGTCCAATCCCCAATACTCTAAAAAAGAAAGTCATGCAAACCTAAATTGAATTTATTGTATTTTTCACTTGTGTATGTGCGCGCACGCATGCGTGCCTGTGCATGTGTGCACGCGGGGGATTGAACCCAGGTCCTCATGCCTGCCAAACACTAGCTCTACCACTGAACTACACCTCCAATCCCAGATAGTAAACCTAATAGAGATTTCATTAGATGAACTATGTTATTAGCACCATCCAGTCATCTGAGGACAATAAAACACTAGTGATGCATAAATTTGTTGTATTTTAAAAGATTAAAGCATTCAAAATATATCATTTTAAGTCTGACATGAGAAAAGGAAATACTGAGAATATTAAAGACAGTATTTTTAAAAACCTATTTGCAGATAACTCATTCAGCAAACATTGCGCACCAAACAATGAGCACTGAATGTAAAAGTGGCTGCTTTCATGGGAGGCAGATTAGGCAAATAATTGTAATACAGTTACAATGCAGGAAATTCTTTTCAGTGCTTACTGAATTTAAGCATCTTAAATGTAGCGTATCCAAACCTTGCACTCTTATCTCAGTGAATACAACTCCCTTCTTGCTATGTTGTGCTAAAAACCTTGTCATCCTCTTTCTGTCATATCCCAAAATTGTCAGCATATTCTGTTTAACCCTACCTATTGAATATCCCACATTTTTATAATTCTTTGCCACTGCGCTGGACCAAACCACTATATTTTCTTATGGCAATAGTGTGGTTACCATGCTTACTTTGAGTCTGTTTTCAACCAAAGCGGCCAGAAGGGTCCTATTTAAATATATCACGTTTTGTCACTCTTTTTCTCAAATCCTCCAGGGGGAGCTTCCTATCCTGTGTATGATAGGCAATGTGCATACTGTGATCTAGCGGTTCACGCATAATCTGACTTCCTTTCAACCCTTCTGCCTTTCTAACTTCATCTATTTGCTGTCTTAATTTGCCACATTCGTCTCCTCTAATGCATTTTATGCAGCTGCCTTAGGGATGTGGCACTTGCTATTGCCTGGAATTTACTTTTACCAGATACCCTAGTCAGTATCCTTGGCATGTTGAATCTAACCACTTTCCCTGGCTACTTTAGCTAAAATTACAATCTGTATATCCCAAAATTTTTTTAGACCTAAAAAAAGTTCTGATTTGGATGCAATGGCATATGCTGATATTCCCAAATATTTGGGAGGTTGAGACAGGAGGATCCTTTGAGGCCAGCATGGACAACATACGAAGACCCTGTCTCAAAAAAAAGCCCTGTGGAGGAGGGGGGGGACGGACGTTGGGTACCAAGGATTGAACCCAGGGGTGCTTTAAAACTGAGCTACATTCCCAGCCTTTTTTGTTTCTTATTTTGAAACAGGGTCTCACTAGGTTTTTGAGGGCTCCACAAGGTTATTAAGCCTGGCTTTGAACTTGTGATCCTCCTGCCTCAGCCTTCCAAGTCACTGGGATTACAGGTGTGCACCACTGTACCCAGCCAGATTGTTTTTTAATATTTATTTTTTATCTCTAGTTTGTAACTGTTACAGCTAAGATTTTTGTTGTTTTGTTCACTGTTATACCCCAAGAACCTATATAACGCTGCCTGACAAATAGCAGGTACTCAAAAAGTGCTAATGGAAAAAAAAATTGAGAGACAATATATTTTGAAAGTGAAATCATTACAGGAAGCTACAAATAGTGAATAGTGTTGAATCAAAGTTAACACATTTTAAAAAGAAATAAATATATGCAGATATTTACTTCAGACTACTTGCTTGATACCCAATGTTATTTGTAGCTCATCTGTTTTCTCCCAACATGACCCTAAATTTAAAAGGACATAGGTAGTATTTTAGAATAATGAGTTTGTTGATCCTGTGTACAAACTTCAGATGAAAATAGAAGTGAATGAATGATAGGTTGCCACATATGATATAGCCAGATTCCTCTGAAAAATCTGGATAATACTAGCTTTTTTAAAAAATTGTGGCCTAGCTTACTGCTAGGATTACATGCCTGTAATCCCAGTGGTTTAAGAGGCTAAGGCAGGCAGATCACAAGTTCAAGCCAGCTTCAGCAACTTAGTGAGACCCTGTCTCAAACTTTCAAAAATGGAATGGGGATGTTGCTCAATGGTTGACCACCCCTGGGTTCAGTCCCCCATAGCAAAAGAAAAAAATAATTATGGTAAAATACATGTTATGTAAGATTTACTGTATTAACCATTTTAAAATATCCAGTTTAATGATATTAGTATATTCACATTGTTGTGAAACATCTTCAAAATGTTTTCATATGGCAAATCTGAAGCTCCATGACCATAAACTCCTCTTTTTCCCCTTCTTCCCAGTCCCTAGTAACCAGTGTCCTACTTTCTGAATTGTACTACTTTAGATATGTTATCTAAGTGAATCATACAGTATTTGTCTTTGAGTGACTGGCTTATTTCACTTACCATAATGTCCTGAAAACTCACCCATGTTGTAGCATATGATACATTCTTTCTAAGGCTGAATAATGTTTGTGTGTACACACCATGTTTTATACGTTCATCTGTTGGTAGATATTTGGGTTACTTCCTCCTCTTGGTTGTTTTGAATACTACAGCTGTGAACATGTTTGTACAAATATAAGTCTATTTCAACCCAAAAGAAAAAAAATTTATACTTTAATTTGTAGTATCTTTAAGTCATGTATAAAATGCTATGCCTCCACTGGGAAAAAGTCATTTCATGATAAAAGTATATAGGCTGAACCTGTGTATCTTAATACATTTGTCCACTAATGCTATACATATTTCAAAAGTTTGTATAGTGGTTTTAGTCAGATAAAAGGAATGAAGTAGGTCATAAACTCTAGTCGGGACAAATTCTGTATGTAAATAGCTCAAAAATAAAAAATAAATATTTTCAGTTTTCCAAAGTTTTAACATCCCCATGTTACCATAAGATCATGTTTTTCTGACATACCTAATCCAAGCTATAGACCAATGCTCGTAAACCTAATTAAAAGGTCAAAAACATAACCTTGGATAGTATTAAACAAATGTTATCTATAAAACTCTGTAATTAACCAAAACACACAAAAGAGTCATGTTCAAATGTTATATGAACATAATGTGTCTAAAGTCAGTTTAGAGATTCCTTTTGGTTGACTTCTTTTTCTGCACTTCTTTGTGCTTCTTTTTTTTTCCTCTTACCATCTTCTTTGAATCCTGCTAAGAAAATAGAGGGATCCCAGTTGCTGGTAATGAAAGGTATACCTTGCTCATCATTGTCCACAAAAGTATATTGAGGTACATATTTGGGGCTATAGAAATTAGGTGAGTAATTGTTAAATGAATGTCTTCTGCAGCTGCATTCTGCTGCAAAGCTGTCTTCATCTGCCACACCATTTACAAAGAAGGATTTCAACTCATCATCTTGTATATCTTCTATTCCTTGATAATCCTCAATAATTTTCTTCATATTAATGTTTCTGCCATTAATCTTGCCTGAAGTTGTAAAAGATATATAGTTGCACATCCCACTATCATCAAATGCCAGGGAAGAGAATGAAGGAAGGCCCTCATGCCCCAGTGAATTATATGATGTATATCCTGTATCATAGAAAGAAAATCTCTCCAAAGTTGGATGTTCACTGGTGGTAGAGAAAAAGGATCCTGCACTTCCTCTGCTCTCATAGAAACTTCTCGGACTATTTAAAAGATCCTCAAGTGAGTCTTCAAAGAAGTGAAATGAAAATGGGTCCCTTTCCCTAAAAATTTCTTTAAAGACATCGTCTGGCTTACGGAATATGAAGCTATGCTCGTATTCATCCTCGAAATGACTTCCACCTCCACCATTTAATCCTTCCTTGCCATATTTATCATAAATGTCCCGTTTTTCATCATTTGATAATACCTCATATGCCTCAGCTACTTCTTTGAATTTTCTCTCTGCTTCTTCTTTATTTTCCGGATTTTTATCAGGGTGCCATTTAAGTGCCACTTTATGATAAGCTTTTTTAATGTCCTCAGGTGAAGCATATCGCTGTACTCCTAGAACTTCATAGTAATCCACCATCTTTTAACAGCACACTGGATAGTGAGCACTGTCTTTTCCTCGAAGCTCAGGCTCTGTTGGTGGTAGAGGCAGTGACTGCAAATAGGCGCATTTTTACATTAAAGGAAATACTACTACCATGAGCCACTGCTAGGAGACATTAGAAGTCTGATTATGTGGCAAACAGAGTTATAAGTTTATGTCAGAGAGGGCTGCATTATGGTGTCATTCCAGGTTAGAAGTAGGGACTGGAACTTCCAAATGGAACTAGACCAGAGACACGCCAGAACATCCTGAATCTTCTACACTGTTTTTACTGTATTCACCCCCCCCCCAAGGTCCCAAACAATGCCTCATAAACTAAAAGGACCTTTTGCTAGTGGCCACAGCATTATGTAATATGACCTCCAGATTACTGAGCCTTAGTTTCTGTTTGCTCCATGTTTTGGTTTAGAAAGAAATCACTTAATGAACTATGTGAAAAAAGATTTTAAGTAGTTGACACATTTATTTTAATTTGTAACAATATAATAAAGGCAGTGATAGAAGAAGTACTGGCTGATAAACAATTGAATAAGAAACATCTGTCCCAGACTAGGATGTTAGGGAAGGCTTCCTGGAGAAAGTGGCTTAATATGCCAGATTTTTGCATGCCAATGGTGAGTCATTTGAGATGGTATCTTTACCCACTTAAATTTACTATGGTGGCACACGTCTGTGATCCCAGTGACCTGGGAGGCTGAGGCAGGAGAATCAGAAGTTCAGAGCCAGCCTCAGCGACTTAGGGGAGGTCAGAAGCAATTTAGTGAGATCCTGTCTCAAAAAGGGCTGGGAATGTGACTCACTAGTTAAGTCCCCTGGGTTCAATCCCTGTTGTCAAAAAAAGTTTAATACTATTCAATATGTAGTTAAAGATTTTGGAAATTGAACCCAGAGCCTCACACCTGCTAGGCAAGGGCTCTATCACTGAGCTACATCCCCAGCCCAGACTTATTTTTAAATGGATCAGTGGCTGCTATGTAGAGAATAAATGGCAATTGGGAAACTGAATTAGAAAGCCCAGTTATTTAACCAAAGTTGATTTTCTTTGAGGATAATTTAAATTATCAACAAACTACAACTGAATTTAAAAAAAAAAATATTCTATTCCTTGCTCATTTTTATTTATTTCTTTTTTTTTTATTGGTTGTTCAAAACATAAAGCTCTTGACATATCATATTTCATACATTAGATTCACCTTGCTCATTTTATTGTCCTAGAAAATTCTCCATAGCAATCTGTTTTTCCTTCTCTATTTTTGTCTTTTTTAATTTCCGTTACATTTAAAACCAGTTCAGTTAAACAATTCTCTAATGAAATATAGAAATGTAGTATATTTCTAGACAGTCTTTCTAAGCTGTTTGCCGGGTCTGAGTATTTTTTGCTTTACATTTATTTTGGTTTTTACATGCTAGTTGTCAAGAGGCATTGTGAAATGTTTAAAACCCAAGTAATTGGAATTCTCTCCAGTATATGTGCTTACATGTATTTATGTGTAACATATGCATGATTATATTTGCCTACCTTTGAAAACAATAACAATATTGAGCATCATTTGAGCACCCTCTTATCATACTGATCCAAATAATTTACATACAGTTTCTCATTTAGCTGACATAGCATTTCGGCAAAATAAACATTTTTGTGCCCATAAGCCAAGATTCTGAGGGATAAAGTAATTTGCCTAAAGCTACATAATTGATTAATGAAAATGTTTAAACTTTCTGAACATAATTTCCAAATGCTGATGTTTCCACTCTACTGCTTTTCTTTTTCTTTTTGGTACCAAGGGTTGAACATAGGGGTGCTCTACTACTGAGCCATATCCTCAGCCCTTTTTTAATTTTTTGAGACAGGTTCTCCCTAAGTTGCTTAGGGCCTCACTAAATTGCTGAGGCTGGCTTTGAACTTGCAATCCTCTTGCCTCAGCCTCCCAGATTGCTGGCATATACCACCACACCCAGCTTCTACTACATTTCTTGGACCAAGACTTAAGAGTTTAGGTTTTAGACATCCACAAACATAAATTGAGAACCACTGGTAAGGAGAAAAGTTAGGAAATTGAAAATTCTACCTGATGTAGTGACAGATACCTATAATACCAGCATCTTGAAAGGCTGAGATAGGAGGATCAAAAGTTTGAGGTTTTTGTTTGTTTGCTTATTTTAGTTGTAGATGGACACGATGACCTTTATTTATTTATTTATTGGTGCTGGGGATTGAACCTTTATTTTATTTTTAATATTTTTTTATTAGTTGTAGTTGGACACAATACCTTTATTTATTTTTATGTGGTGCTGAGGATCAAACCCAGGGCCTCACATGTGCTAGGCGAGCACTCTACTGCTGAGCCACAACCCCAGCCCCAAAAGTTTGAGATTTTTAAAACATAAAGTGCCCCTGGATTCAATCCACAGTAATCCTCCCCATCCTAAATAGAAAGAAAATGGAAAATTCTGCTCTTATGAATACTTAGCTGAGCGCTGTGGTATACACCTGTAATCCCAGCAGTTTGGGAGGCTGAGGCAGGAGGATTAGGAGTTAAAAGCCAGCCTCAGCAAAAGTGAGATGCTAAGCAACTTGGTGAAACCCTGACTGTAAATAAAATACAAAATAGGGTTGGGAATGTGTCTCAATGCCCGGTACCCAAAAACTCATATTTTGAGAAAACTAGTTTTAGTAGAGTGTAAAAATGTAAGGAGAAAAGTTAGGAAATTGAAAAATTAAAACAGGACTTGCTGCTTTAGTCATCCCCCTTGGCTGGGGCCCTCTCCACTCCCAGCTGTTGTGCCATATTCTCTGATTCGGTCCCAGAAATCTTCTCAAAATTGTTTTCTTGGAATCTGTGCTTTCTTACATTCTTGGCACACTCCAATCTGGTTTCCATCTATACTCTGCTAAAAATGTGCTTGTCAGTTTCTCCAGGGAATTTCATGTTACAGAGTCCAGTGGTTGTCCTTTTGGCTTTCTCATATTCTGAAGCACTTGCCACAGTTTGATTCCTTCCTCCTTTTTAAAAATACCTTTGTTTCTTTAGCTTCCTAAATACCATAGTCTTCTAATTTTCTTCTGTGCTTTTCACACTTAAAATTTTATAGTTCCAGCCTTTACTCAGTCTCTCTAAGTGGTATCTAATCCCAGGGCTTAGATATCACCTATGTGCTTCTAATACCTTCATTTAATTATTATCTAGCCTGTCACTCTTCCTTCTGAAATACTTTCTATTTGACTTTTCTATTGTGATATCCAATAAGTACCTAAAGTCTTTCCTGTTTCATTTAATGGTACACTATTCACCCACTGTTCAGGCCACAAATCTAGGAATTATCCTCTTCTGTCTTTACTCTCTGCATCTAATCAGAAGACTGATTGGCTTTTTGTGTGTGTTTTGGGGAGGGGGGTGCTGGGGATTGAACCCAGGGCCTTGGTGCATGTGAGGCAAGCACTCTACCAACTGAGCTATATCTCCAGTCCCTGATAGGCTTTTTTTTTTTTTTTTTTTTTTTTTTTTTAGTATTTATTTTTTTAGTTGTAGTTGGACACGATACCTATATTTTATTTGTTTATTTCATGTGGTGCTGAGGATCGAACCCAGGGCCTCACACGTGCTAGGTGAGCACTCTACCACTGAGCTACAACTCCAGCTCCCCTGATAGGCTTTTTAACCTTCAAAATATATGTATTGCAAATCCAGTCATGGAAAAACAAAGTCGAATAATAAGTGCCTTTCAAAAATTTAGAGTAGACTAGCAAACTAGGAATTATGTGCAAAGTGGCAGGCATATATAAACATCGCAGGACAACATCTGCATCTGTAGCAGTAGGACTGGGAATGTAAGAGAAGGCTTCCTACCTAAATGATGTTTAATCTGAACTTTTAGAAGTTGTATAGTCAAAAAAAAGCAGGCAAAATTCATTTTAGACCAAGACAACTATATTTTTGAAGGCAAATGCTGTTATGATACAAAATGATTTGCTGGGCATCTTCATGTAGCCTAGTGTGACTTCAGTAATGTTTTTGAGAATTAGTCTGGTCTAGTATCCAGACTGTGAAAGATGCTAAGTTAAGGATTTTGAAGCTTTTTCTGAAAGGTAGAAAATTTTAAGCTTATACAGTTAGTAGAGGCTATACTGTTAAAAAGCTCACTCTGTTATAGAGTTCAAAGACAGCTCCTAGAATTTACATATGACTTGCCTGGCCAAACCTTTAGAAAGTTTGAGGCAAAGAACTACAGACAAGTGCTCTTCTGCTAAGCTATAACCCCAGCCTGAAGCAAAGGACTGGAAAGATCATTTTGGAAATAGCATGACCTACAGAGGATGAATTGAAGAGGCAAGACCAAGACAGGCAGATTAGTGAGGAGACTGTTTCCTCAATCCAGGCACCATTTTCTTTTATCATCCAACAAGTTATTATTTTTCTCAACAATCTTCAATAAATTTAATCTGGGTGAACATTTAAGACTTCTAACTCTCTCCCAAATACATACAACATCATTCATACTTCATAACTCCTACAGAAATCTTTCACTTGATCCATACTTAATCATGTTCTGCCTATGTACTGATTTTATGCTCCAAGGATATTGTTCAGTACTGATTGCGTTGTTGAGATTAAAACAGAAGATCTCCTGAACTGTTGCACAGAGGGAAGAGTGCAAAGATTATAAACTCTGTAAACCTGGATTTGAATGTTAGCTCCCCAGTACTGTGTGACCTTGTTCAAATTACTTCTTCATCAGATTCCTCTTTTATAAAATAATGATGATAATGTCTACTTCATGTGGAATTTAAAAATCTAATTCCTTAATTTACCATACAATACCTTTAAAGGCCTGGGCCTACCTTCCTAATCTTTTCATCTCCCTCCAGCAGCCCTCACCTTCTGGTAGAGTAGGGTGCTGTTGCCCTGGTGCATTCTTACATGTCTCTTTCCCTCCTCCTGCCCTTTCACATTCAAGCACATGTGCACAGAAATAGGCATTATCTATTTCTGCAGAAATACCTTTTGTATGTTTTCCTGTGTTCCTCAGAGTACCACATGCCTTTTGTCTTTGCACCCAACTCTAGGCATTATGATAGTTTTGTGTTCTCAAAAACCTAACATATGGCCATGTGGGGTGGTACACACCTGTAATCCCAGCAATTGAGGAGCCTGAGGCAGGATTGCAAGTTCTAGACTAGCCTATGAGATTTAGTGAAACCCTGTCTCAAAAAATGGGCTGGGGATGTGGCTCAGTGGTTAAGTGCCTCTGGGTTCAGTCTCCAGAACCCACCCAAGGGGGAAAAAAAAACTTGCATTTGAATCTACTTCTACATTTACCATGCAGTATTATAGTGCTGTTTCTTCTCACCTTGTCTCACGTCTACTTCTAGCTGAATATTCTTAGATTGTTTGAAGACCCAGGTAAATAATCTTGATTTATTTTTTTTTTTTTTTTTGTAGTGCTGGTGGTTGAACCCTTGTCATTCTTGTGTCTTCTCCAGCATATGTTCCAATCATGTGCTCAATAAACTTTTGTTCAGTTAGTGATAATAATGTTAACATTTATTATATCCTATGATTAAGCATTTTTCATATGTTATCTGGCTGTAATATTCCAAGATTAAATATGATATCACTCATACTTAGCATTCACATATTCTCAGTTAAAAAAAAAAAAAGTTAATTATCTTCTCCTAAATTTTAGGACACAGCCTCAAGCTATCTATGTGAACTCCTTCCTAACCCCTTTCTTGTTTTTTGTTTGTTCCCTTCCTTCACCTTGTTCCTACCTTTGTTTTACATACATGTATGTGTGTCTATGCATATCTGTCTCCATTATACTGTAGCAGACAATATGATGAGAGTAGAGATGACCTCATTTCTGTTTTCCTAGAGCCCATCACAGGCTCTCACAATGGGGAAGAACCATTTAAATATTGGGAGAAGGAAGGAAATGCTAACTTGCATTTCCTAATCATCCAAAATGTTGGAAATAAATGCATGAGTACCATAAAGGATGTATAGATCTGTTGTTCTATTTCATCCTCTCTATTCTTCCTTCAGGATGCATATCATGTTTACAGCGAAGATACTCTCTCCAGCCTGTGCCAGAGAGGAGAATTCCAAATCGATATTTAGGCCAGCCTAGCCCCTTCACACATCCACACCTCCTCAGACCAGGTAAGGCCTTTTAACTATAACAAGCTGTCTCTTCATTTAGGTGCTTTCTCTAGAATATTGATTAAGATTTTTTGCAGTGATACAAGTATTCTAGATCTGTGCTGTTCTGTGAAATATCTGGTAGGCAAATATACATTGGTAATATTGCTAGGATGACTGAGAAACTAGTTTTTATTTTATTTTTAACTAATTTAAACTTAAATAGCTACATGCAATTACTGATACTGTATCAACAGTCACTCCATAACAGTAAATACAGTAAACCTCATAATTCAAAATAACTAGTGAAAAATATTATTTCAGGATGTTTTTATTTTCATATTGTTAGTCCTAGGGAACAACCGGGACACTTCACCATTGAGCTCCATTCCCACCCTTTTTATTTTTTGTTTTGACACAGGGTTTCACTAAGTTGCCAAGACTGACCTTGAACTTTGAATCCTCCTACCCCAGCCTCCTAAGTCAAAGTTTTTATAACTTTGTCTGACTATTGATTATTTGTAAACTACTGTGTTAAAAGATATTTTTAAGAGCTGGGACTAAGCTTAGTGGTAAAATGTTTGTTTAGCATGTATGAGGCCTTAGGTTCAATCCCCAGAACCACACACACACACAAAGAGACATTTTAAAAAACATCTTTCTCAAAAGTGTTAAAGTTCATTTCAAGTATTTTTATATATGTGAAAAAGATTTCCATATTTGTTTGTCATCACTTGAAGAGGCAGTCAATTTCAATTGATAAAGATGATGCAAAAAATTGATAAATTATTTCATTAATTGTTTTTCTGCTGTGAGATCCCAGTATTGCTGCTAGAAGGTGCATCATTGAGTGTTCAAAACTAAAGATGTTTTTTGTTTTCTAAAAAAGCATTTAAGGGATCAGCTGTGATGAATGAATATGAAACAAAGAGGTAGGCATATTAAAACCAAGAGAGTAACATCAAATGCTTTGTAGAAAAAGCATTTGTCAGTTTTTCAAGAAAAGTTTCTCCCACCTTGAGGAGTTAATTAAATCTGTATTTACTATGTAAGCGTATATGTTAATAACATAAGTTGCCTTTAGAAACATGTTATTCTTTCACTGTCTCCACTCAGTGAATGATACCAGTATGTCTCAGTGAGGGCTTCCTTTTGCTGATTCTTCATCAGACGGGAATTCCTGCTGGGAAATTGGCTGAGACTCAGGAAATGCAGCTCACCACTGAAACACAAGAAATCAGAGTTTTTCAAAGCTGTAAGGTAAGCTTACTAGCAGTCCGATTGGTATTTAAGTATTTCTCTACCATATCAACCTACCTGTAATCGTTTTTAAGGAAAAAAAAGTACAATTGATATTGAGATTTACCAGCTTTGAAGGGTATTGATTTCTTGTGGTAAAATAATTTTATTTGGTGAGCTGCATTTTCCAGGCCTTGAAAACATGGTAATCAAATTGTCATCATATTGGTTTCTGTGTCTAGACTGCTTTGCTATACATTATCTGAGTGTTAAGCATGTTATTGATTAATTGATTGATTGATTGATAGATATATTTTTGGTACCAGGGATTGAACTCAGGGGCACTCGACCACTGAGCCACATCCCCAGCCCTATTTTGTAGTTTATTTAGAGACAGGATCTCACTGAGTTGCTTAGTGCCTCACAGTTGCTGAGGCTGGCTTTGAACTCTCAATTCTCCTATCTCAGCCTCCCAAGCCACTGGGATCACATGCATGTGCCGCCTAATCATGTTTTTTAAATTCATGTAAATAAATATATACATGTATGTGTTCATTTACATAAATATGATTATTTTTGCTATATGGGAAAACGGATGCCTGTCCTGATTTTACTCCTGAATGTAGGATTTTGGACATTGGGATAAATGAGAAGAGAGAGAAGTAGATGGAGTTTGTTTTGTTTTCCATGTGAATGCCCTTTTATCATCAAGGATATTCTGCTTCAGTCCTTAAATCTTTTCCAAACTATACACAAAATTTAAATGGGCTGGGGGAAGAACCTAGAATGAAACGAAAAATCTCTGGTAAGGATGCAATTTAAAGGTTGAAAAAAAGATTCATCCTCATGAATACACCTTTGTTGTTAAATATTTAAGAGTCAAGGCAGAACAACTAAACCAGAAAGTGGAAAAGAATAGAGGAGATAAGAGTTTTAAAACAGAATTATCAGTGTTTTAATTTTTAAAGGAACCATCAGGTATACAGATTTTTCAGGAAAAAATAGTATCCAAAGTATTGATCACTTGTTTTTCCTCCATATGAAGATGTAAAACTTGTGAAGTGTTTAAATGATTATGGGATGGAAAGTAAATTTTTAAGAACAATTAAAAGGCATGTGATACATTTTTGAAAATCTCTTAAACAACTAAAGTCAGTGAGGCAGTTTGGCGTATAAAATAATGTCACCTATTACTTGGTTTGCTCCAAAAGGTTTCACATTTGGCATAATTATGGTAGTACTTATAACTTTTGGAAAACATTGCTATTTCAATTATCCCATAAGTGATACGCATATTTTTTTTATTTTCAGTGCTGGAGATTGAACCCAGGGCCTTGTGCCTGCTAGGCAAACTCTCAACCACTGATCCACATCCCCAGCTCCCAGTCCTTTTAAAATATATATATATATATATATTGTTTTCTTTTTTATTTTATTTTTATTTTGAGACAGGGACTTGCTAAATTGCCTAGGCTGACCTTGAATTTGCAGTCTTCTTGCCTCAGCCTTCCAAGTTGCTGGGATTACAGGCATGTATCACCAGGCCTGGCTTTTGGCTTGTATTTTGAGACAGTCTCACTTAAATTGCCCAGGATGGCCTCGAATTTATAATCCTCCTGGCTCATCCTCCCCTGGGATTACAGGTGTATATTTTGTGCCTGGCTAGACTCATATAGGAACATGTGTGTGTGGTGTGTGTAAGTAAATATAGGTATACACTCTTTGTATTTTGCTCAATTATTTCCTTAAATTCTTAGCAGTGAAATTCTTGGATTAGCTCCTCTGAATTTCTGGGAGCCATTTCCCTTCGATTTTTCTTTGCCATACCTACCCAAGATTCCTGAAGCAGTGGTGGTTTGGAAAATATTCAGCAGGATGGCATGAGAAGTAAAGGAATTCTGCTATCGCTGTGTTGCTACTGCTTTATCTGGAACTGCAATCACACTGGCTCTCCCAGGTTCCCATAGTGATTTTTTCGAAACTTGTCGTTAGAGAAGTCTGAGCATTATAGACTGTTTCTACAATGCTAAGGACTATGTATCTAGAGATTGAAAATGACTGTCAATCTCCTATCACTATCATGCCCTTTATTTTCCTCCCAGATATATATATGGTTTCATGTAGGAGGCAAGTGTCATTTTGAGATATATTATGAACTGTGAATCTTTTTATAGTATCTGTATAAGACACTCTATGTTCCCTGACATTGCCACAGGTGTAATGTTGTCATTAGCAGAGCAGCAAACATTCAGCTCAGAGAAACAGAAACTTAGCCAGAGAATGAATGAGAAGAATCTGTAAGATGACTAATGAAGCATTACTTTCAAAAACCTATGTAGCTAACATTTTTATATTACGAGGCAAAACTAATTTTTGAATATGTGGAATAGTTTAGAATGCTGGCTTTAAGAAGATTTTGCTCAGAGGGACTTGTATCACATATCTAGAAACACTTTTTACTCTCAATAATAGCAGTAATCAGATTCTTTGGGAAGTAATCAGAGTTAAACTGTACGGCAACAACTTAATCCTTTCTCCATTTATCTTTTTATCTGTCATGAAATATAATGGCAGATCTGATGCCTTTTTTTGTCAAATGTAATATAGTCATATGTCTCTTAATATCAGGGCCAGTTTTTAAGAAACACATCATTAGGCAGTTTCATTATTGTGCAAACATCATAGCGTATGCTTACACAAACTAAAACTACTGGACTTCACTGAGTGATGTAATCTTATGGGACCAGCCTCATAAATATGTAGTCCACCATTGACCAAAACATCATTGCATATTAAAATGATGAGTGCTGGAGTTAGAACTCTGGTAAAGTGCTTGCTTAACATGTCCAAGGGTCTGGGTTTGACCCTCAGGACCTCAAAAGATAAATAAATAAAATAAAATAAATATTGGTTCCAGAGTGAGTTGTAGATAAGAATTCCCAAATAATCTTTCCTGAAAGTTTCAAAATTAGCTGAGTACCAATCTTTCAATGATAGTTTAATTATAGTTCTCCCTTGAAAAGTGGGTACATTTTTTAGAAAATGGGCTGTTAATAAGCATGGTCAGCTTAAATAATATCTAAAAGTTGAAGGACATTATTTTGGTGGTGGTGAAATTTTGATACTGTTTATAAAATATTAAAATATATGTCCAAGAATGAAAGAAATTAAAAGTGGCAGAAATCTGCATAGACCATTGAGGGAACTTGGTCAAAGGAAATATGTACTGCAGGACACTGTAGACTTGCTGCATCAGAATCTAAGGGGGGCTTACAACCTGTGTGTTTTTTCCTTTTCTTTTTTTTTCCTTTTTTTATGAGACCCAGTTTTGCTAAGTTGCGGAGCCTGGCCTCAAAGTTGTGATCCTCCTTCCTCGGCCTTCCAAGTCACTGAAATTAATAGGCGTGTGCCACCACGCCAACTACATGTGTTTTGAAGAGCTTCCTTAGTGTGCTACTCTGCACACCAATTGCCTATGGGATACTCGCCAAATACTTCTTATAGATTACATCTGATAAGCAGAGTAGTTGATGAAAAGTTTTGCAGTTTTTAAATTTAAGTTCAAGCTCTATTTTTTGTATTACTAATCACCATAAAGTCTACCTGTCTTTATGTAATTTAATATTTTTTTTCTCACCCCTGGTGTGACTATGTAATTTTGTAAATACTATATATTTGTATTGTCAATTTTATAAATACTGTATATTTGTATTATGTGTTTTCATCTTATCTTCATTGCTTGAGTTAGAAATTAATGCAGAATTAAGAACCTATGTCTTTACATATGTTTATAAATGAATAAACATACCTTTTACTTGTATGTCTGATACATGTTGACTACCTATTTCAATGTACCATAATATTGATAACTAATGTATAGAAATTCTATACACTGCCATCTAGAGCAGAAGTATAGAGAATTTCTCTGCCTTTTTTTTTTTTTTTTTTTAATACCAGGAGAAAATAGAAAATCTTGAAAGATAATGTTTTCAGGTTGTTTAAATGCTGGTTTAGTAAGTGACCAATTTCCCTCTTTTACCTTTGTGTTTCTCATAAATACTCAGAAAAATTTGGGGGCAAAGATTAAGAAGAATCAGCTCCAGGCATGAGTCAAGAGCCTTCTAAAGAATTGAATGATAATTTAAAAATTCATGAATAGTCACTTGAGACTCACTTTTACGTGAGAAAGCCAAAGATTTTCCAGGCCTTCTACACAGATAGGAACATTGAGATGAATAGTGGTTTTCCATGAAAATTTTACTCTTGCAAAGTTCTGCCTGGCTTTGGGATTACCAAGATGATAGTCTCTCAAATATAAATTATTTTTTGGTAATAATGATAGCTAATACTTAAATAGTGCTTACTATTCTAAGCCTTTATGTAATCCTCCTGACAACTTTGTTAAGTGGATACTATTATCTCCTTTTTACAGATCAGGAAACTGGAGCACAGAGAACTTTGATATTCCCAAGTAACTCAGTATTATGCTATGGTAGGATTCTAACTGGCAAAGTCTTGACTCAAGAGTCCATACTTTTTTTTTTTTTTTCAGCCCTGGGGATAGAACCCAGGGCCTCAAGCATGCTAGGCAAGCATTCCACCACTGAGGGACACAACCCCAGAGTAAACACTTTTAACTACAAAATAGTCCATAGCACCTATACTGATAATCTGGGAACTTTTTAAGTCTCTTCTCATTTTAAGAAGAAATCCATCTGAGAGAAGTCTTAGTGTAAAAAGTTATTTCAGTTTTAGAAAGGGGTATGCTTTTTTTAATAAGGTAAGTTTACATGTAGTGAATTTCACAGATCTGAAATGTATAATTCAAAGAGTTTTGACAAAAGTGTACACCAGTGTAACCTAAAACTCAGTTAAGATATAGAACATTTCCATCATACCAGAAAGTTCCCTGATGCCCCCTGCAGTCAATCCCACTTCCATCTTCAACCATTCCTCTAGTGTTTATATTGCTTCATTATTTTGCCTATTTTTTCTTTCTTTCTTTCTTTTTGATACCATGGAATAAACCCAGGGGCACTTAACCCTGAGCCACATCTCCAGCTCTTTTTATTTTTTATTTTGAGACAGGGCCTCACTAAGTTGCTGAGGCTGGATTTGAACTTTCAATCCTCCTTCCTAGCTTCCCAAATACCTGGGATTAACAGATGTACACCATTGCACCCAGCTATTTTGTATGTTCTTAATGTCCTATAAGTGAATATACAGAATCAAATAGTTGTGCCCCATGTGGCTTATTTTGTTCAACATATGCAAATAAAATCTAATTCAAATATTATAATTGGCTCATTTCAAGGCTAGGGATGTAGTTCAGCAGTGGAGCACTTGCCTGGCACCCATGAGGCACTGGGTTCGAGCCTCAGAACCACATACAAATAAATAAAATAAAAGAATCCTGTTCATGTACAGTTATTTTTAAATAAAAATAATCTGGTCATTTCATTTTTTTCAGAGAGATCTGTTTTACCTTATAAAGGAATCACGAGCTTTTTTCATTCTCCTCATTCTCCTACTGTATAGTAGTAAAATCAGTTCATGAACTACTTCTTTATTTACAGTAGTAACTACCTGGTATTAAGTAGAATTCTTTTTAGAATTAGACCATATTAATTCCTAGTCTAGTTAGTTTGAGGAAATAATTAAAATACATACCTAGATTGTAGTAGAAACTTGCATCTTTCTATCCATTTTTTAGTCTTTATTTCACTTTCCTCTCTGGGTTTTCTGCTTGGCCAAGAAAATATGAAAATCATTCTTCTTGCTCTCTTGAGCGTCCCCAAGTCCTGAATGTCTTGGAAGAATTTTACTTCTTGGCTGCAGAGTCTTGGAACTGCTTATGAGACTTTGCTACTTGAAAAGTCCAGTTTTATGACATTCAGGCTTTTGACTGGTTAAATAAACTTGTTAGAAAAGCCTGCCCATCCATAATTGATTTCACATGACAAAATAATGACTTTGTTTCGTAATACTTTACAATTTGACAGAGTGCCAGAATGTCTATTCAGAAACAGCTTTATCAGAAGAAATTCAGGTCAGATTGACTATAATACTTAGTTCTGTGATCAAAGGCCACTGCAACTGCCAAGTTGACTTCTAGGGCTTAAAGTTCATTGCTTTATCATACCTTCCCCCCCCCCCTCCTTCAAATGAAAAGAAAAGATATCTTTATCCTGGGTAATTTTTCTGTTGCCACAGAGTTCTTTATTACTTGGAGATTTTGAAACTTGGGAAACATTTAGTTAATGATCACTCTCTGGTGTTGATAATTTGTAGACTTGGGAAAGTATAGCCAGCAGTTTCAACATTTCTCATGTAGTCGTTTGTGTGAAATTGGATTTGACAAATAAAGGAATGCTTTAAATGGTGTGAAAGATTGTTTTCCAATCCTACTTTGGTTTCAAAATAATTATTTATTTTTCAGAAGTTACTTCTTGATATCTGTTAATGTATACTCTGTTGTTAATGAAAATGAGATAATAATTTAATGAAATTATTAAAATTATGAATTTCTTTCTGATCAGAATTCTTTTGTTGGGGGATGAACCCAGGGCCATACACATGCTAAAAGCACATGCTCTACCACTGAAATTTTTTTAGACACAAAATGAATTGATTTTTTTTTCTTAAAGCAAATTTTAGGAAAAGAAGAAAGTGAAATAGCAAAAAAGAAAAGGTCAAATAATCCACCAATTATAGTCAGACTCTGCTTTTATAAAAAAGTACTCACTGCTTGAGTAAAGTAGGAAATTTTCAATGAATAGTTATCAGAGACTTAAGATATTCTTCAGCTCTAGTACAAAGTTCAGTATTCTACCTGAGAGTCCTAGATAACTCCTAGCCAGCTCGGTCTTAAAAAATTTTTTTGATATGAGTTCCTTTCCTGCCCTCTGTATTTGCCTGGTTCAGACTGGCCTGTAAGGCCCTCAGTTATCTCTTCTGTTTCTTGTCAACTTCAATAATAACTATGTAAACTTTTTTTCTTTTGTACAGTCTAGAAAATTAAAATTATTTTTATTAAATGTATACTACAGAATTTGATCACATTTGCTGTTTTACATGGGTAAAAGAACTGGACAGTTCCAAAGTAATCATAAACAACTGAGTTGCATGTGCTAAACTTGATTTCTAAGAAAATTCAAAGGTCTTTGACCCAGCAATTTCTCTGCTGGGACTATCCCATAGGAACATAAGTCATGAAATTACCAAGATATAATTACAAAGATGTTTATTATAGCAGCAGAAAACTAAAAACAATGTGAATTCCTACCAGTATAGAGCTTGCTCTAAAAGTTGTGCTATTCTAAAATGTTTTGGAGACATCAAGCAGATCAGATGGATTGAAGCTATACCAGATGACTCAGAGGGAAGGATTTCCATTGATATTGTGTTATATTAGAAAAGCAAGATACAGAAAAGAGTGTACAATATTGCATTTTTGTCAAACAATAGTGATTAAAAAAACATCGTGTATTCATGATTATGTGAGTATTGAGAAAAGTAAGGAAGGATACATATTAGTTTACAGATATGGGTGGGGTGCTGATGTAGGTAGTATAAGGAAGAAGGAGCCAATGAAGGAAAGGAGAAAGATATTTAATGAAAGATTTCAGTAAGATGTGATTACATTCATGCATAACTATGGGAAATATATATAGATACATATAGAGAGAAATAATTGCCTTTTAAAATAACTCAAAGGATAAAATATGATTACATTTTTACTTAATTATAGGATACATGTCTAGAGATATGTATATATATAATTTGTATATATGTATATAAATTATAAATTTATAAATGTGTATATTATATAAAATTTAAAATAGTTACCTTTTTAAAAAAATAACTCAAAGAGTTAAACCAACATGATCTGGGTTGATCAAGACAGCATTTTAATGAGAACAATCTAAAAACAAGCTTACAAATGTTTTAAGCCAAGATCTTAGAGGGAATTAGTATGGAGGGAGATAAAATTTCAGAAAGGTGACACATTGTAAACAAGGTAACATTGTGAACAAGGGAAGAATAGATTGGACTTATCTAAGAGAAAAGAAGGAATTAGTTGTAGAATAACTGGAGAAATTATTAGAATAAAGTTGGCTGAGTCATCAAAGATCATATATTGTGCAGTGACCTATATATGAAATCTCTGCAAAAAGGCAAATCCCAATACAAAAATAAGTTAGCGGTTGCCAATTAGTGGAAGGCTTTGGGAAAAAATGGGGAGTAACTGCTCTTGGACATGAGGTTTCTTTTTGGATTGATGAAATGTTCTAAAATTAACAATATGGTGACTATGTTTAACAATATATTGTGTTGTTGAAAAATGCTGAGAATGGATATAAAGTGTTTCTACCTCAAAAACTGATAACTATGTGAGGTAATATGTATTTTAATTCACTAGATTTTTTTCATTCCATAATGTACATATGATTTAAAATATGTATACACAGAAAATATATATAATTCTATCAACTTTAAAAATAAATAAGTTAAAAAATTGATTGTGCAGTCTACATCTGAACCACAATCCCAACCCAACCTGGCTTATCGTCTTAATACCCTGTGTGCTGTGAGGGGATGTAGCACAAATAGAAGAAATGAACTTGGGGATCTTCACCTAATATTAAACTGCCTTATTACTTTGGCACTGTAGACATGCAAAGTATCACTTGCATTTGTCATTTCTAGGGGAGGTGACACCAGGACTATCTCAGGTGGAATATGCACTTCGTAGACACAAACTGATGTCTCTGATCTACACGGAAGCACAGGAGCAAAGTGGGACAGACCAGACGGTGGTTGTGCTCTCCAATCCTACGTACTACATGAGCAATGACATTCCCTACACTTTCCACCAAGACAACAATTTCCTGTACCTGTGTGGATTCCAAGAGCCTGATAGCATTCTGGTCCTTCAGAGCCTGCCTGACAAGGAGTTACCATCACATAAGGCCATGCTTTTTGTGCCTCGGAGAGACCCCAGTCGAGAACTTTGGGATGGTCCTCGATCTGGCACGGATGGAGCAATAGCTCTAACTGGAGTCGATGAAGCCTATACACTAGAAGAATTTCAACATCTAGTACCAAAGCTGAAAGGTAACAAATGGGAGCAGAAGTCAAGATACAGGCCAGGTTGGGATTAAGACCCTTCCTTGCCTACAGAGTTTTAACTTTTCTAAAATAATTACCATAGCAGCATTTCCTCTGAGTGCTGTGAAGGAGACATAAGTGATCTCCAGAAAACTGAGCTACTTTAAAGACTTCATCCATTTGTTAAATCTTGACTAGGTCATTCTTTAACAAAGGCTGTTAATTGGGGCTGGGGTTGTGGCTCAGCAGTAGAGCAAGGCCCTGGGTTCGATCCTCAGCACCATATAAAAATAAATAAATAAAGTTATTGTGTACAACTCCAAAAAAAAAAAAAAAAATGCTGTTAATCATCCTATTTTGAAACCCAGAGAGAGAATTTTCTTTTAAAGTGAAGGGGTAGGTTGGGTGCATCCTTACACATCTGTAATCCCAGGAACTCAGGAGGCCAGCCTCAACAACTTGGTGAGACTCTGTCTCAAAAATAATAATAAATAATATCGTTCAGTGGTAGAGTGCCTCTGGTTTCAATCCCTAGTAACCCCCCAACTCATTTTTTTTTTTTTTTTTTGTAATTAAAATGAAGTGTGGACATGAACCTCTTTTCAAGAACATTTACCAGGAACTAGGGCTGTAGCTCAGTGACAGCACACTTTGCCTCACATCTTGAGATCCTGAGTTAGATCCCCAGTAACCCCCACCAAAAAAAGAACACTGACCAGCCAATTAACCATTGAACACCTGCATCAGAATCATCTCTAATATTAGAATTATAAACGCATAGTATATATTGGAAATGTAAAGTCTCAGGCTCTGACATCATGCCTTCTGAATCAGAATGTTCATATTAACAAGATTCTCAGGAGATTCATATGCAAGTTGCGTTTCTCTACATTCTGGTAGAATTTTTTTCAATAAGGGATATTGAATCTAGAAGCATTCTAATTCTGAGCTACATCCCCAACTCTTTTAAAGTGTATTTTATTTTGAGATGGGGTTTGAGTTGCCCAGGCTGGCCTCAAATTGTGTATATGAATCTCCTGAGAATCTTGTTAAAATGAAGATTCTGATTTGGAAGGCATGAAGTGACTTTGAGACTTTATATTTCCTATATATATTAAGCATCTGATTTTCTGGCATTGCTTGTAAATCATTTCTGAAGTCACTTTCTAAAAGAGAATTCCAAAAATGTTTTTGACAATCATTTCTGTAGTTCTAGGGATTAAACCCAGGGCCTCATGGAAGCACTCTCCCACTGAGCTATATCCCTAGTTGTTTTTTAAATTTTATTTTGAGATAGGTTCTTGCCAAGTTGCCCGAGCTGGCCTTGAACTTGTGATCCTCCTGCCTCAGCCTCCTGGGTAACTGGGTTAACAGGCATACACCACCACTCCTGGCACTGAAATCATATATTTATATAAAAGTTTTAAAACCTGAAAAAAGTTGAGCTATGATTTCATATACTAACAGCAAGTGATATAGGTTGTTTAACTTTTTTTAAAGTCACAATGAATTTCCTTCTATCATGAGTAAGGTATTTCCCACAATGTACATGTAAAACCATTTTTATTTTAAAATGTTTAAGATGTAGTATCACTAATGCATATCTAATCAAAGTTTTCTGTACACTTTCTCTCTTCTATCCCAAGGTACTTTTCATTATATAAAACATATAACCCTTCAGACTTACATAATTAGGAATACCATTCATAGTCCATTCTCAGAAAAAATAAATAAAATATATATGGTGTTAAGTACAAATCATTTTCATAATGAGCCTTCATATCATGTATCTTAGGCATATATAGACTATTTCCATAGGTCTCTAAAGTTAAAAGAATTGTGTGTGAACACAACACCAGGTGTGTTGGTGATGCCTGTAATTCCAGCAATTCAGGAGACTGAGGCAGGAGAATCACAAGTTCAAGGCCAGCCTCAGCAATTTAGCAAGACCCTGTCTCAAAATAAAAATGGGCTAGGAATGTAGCTCAGTGGAAAAGTGCCCCTAGGTTCAATCCCCAGTACCCACAAAGAAGTTAAAAGTATTATTTACAAAAAGAATAGGTAGAAGTTGAAAAGGAGAGATACACATATTATGAAGTAGAGTTCTTTCTTTCTTTCCTTCCTTCCTTCCTTTCTTTCCCTTCCTTTCTTTCCCTCCCTTCCTTCCTCCCTCCCTCCCTCCCTCCCTTCCTTCCTTCCTTCCTTCGATTGAACTCAGGGGCACTCGACCACTGAGCCACATCCCCAACCCTATTTTGTATTTTATTTAGAGATGGGTTCTCAATGAGTTGCTTGGCATTCCACTTTTGCTGAGGCTGGCTTTGAACTCATGGTTCTTCTGTCTCAGCCTCCCGAGCCATTGGGATTCCAAGCATTCATCACCATGCCCGCCTATGAACTCGAGTGTTATAACAAGGAATAATTGCTCCAAAATGAGAGAAGAACTTGTTCCAGTAGAACTGAGATTATTTTGTGAGGGGATGAGATTCTTTTACATAAAATCATGATCTGAGCACTTTCTTCTGATCTATTTTGTGTGCAGTTACTCAGCAGTACTCTATTGATCAATAATGGTGGTAGAGAATAATTGTTATAATTGTTCTTTAACAACTAGTAATAAAGATAAAGCTGTATTTAATTTATTTATTTATTTTTTTTTTTTTTGTAGTTGTAAGTGGACAGAATGCCTTTATTTTATTTATTTTATGTGGTGCTAAGGATCAAACCCAGTGCCTTACACACGCTAGACAAGTACTCTACCACTGAGCCCCAGGCCCAGCTCCCCATCTATCATTTTTTTTTTAAAGATATCTTTTTTAATGTTTTTTTAGTTGTCAATGGACTTTATTTATATGCGGTGCTGAGAATCAAACACAGTGTCTCACACATTCTAGGCAAGTGCTCTACCACTGACCCACAACCTCAGCCCCCATTTATCATTTTTATGGCATTTCTTCTTTTTATTTTTTGTTTCGTTCTGGCCTCATAAGTGCTAGGCATGTGCTTCTTCTCTGACCTCTCCCCATCCCCCAACTCCTATTAATATTATTTTATTTTATTTTTTGGTACCAGGTATTGAACTCAGGCACTCAACCTCTGAGCCACATCCCCAGCCCTTTTTTTGCATTTTGTTTAGACACAGGATCTCACTGAGTTGCTTAGCACCTTGCTTTTTGTTGAGGCTGACTTTGAACTTATGATCCTCCTGCCTTAGCCTTCCAAGCTGTTGGGATTACAGGCATGTGCCACCATGCCTGGCCTATTAATTTTATTTTTTGAATTTCTTTTTTTTTCTCATTCTAAGCTGAGTCGAACATCATTTGGTATGACTGGATGAAGCCTTCTCATGCACAGCTTCATTCTGACTACATGCAGAGTGTGACTGAGGCCAAAGCCAGGAGCAAGAACAAGGTTCGGGGTGTTCAGCATCTGGTACAGCGCCTCCGGCTAATCAAATCTTCTGCAGAAATTGAGAGAATGCAGATTGCTGGGAAGCTGACATCACAGGTATGGTTCCTATTGAAAAGGTTTTTTTTTGGTATCAGGGTTTGAACTTAGGGGCACCCTATCACTAAGCTACATCCCCAAGACCTTTATAATTTTATAGAGTTTTGGTAAGTTGCCAAGGCTGCTCTTCAGCTTCTAATCCCCCTGCCTCAGCCTCCAGAGTAGCTGGGATTTCAGGCATTCTTCACTGGGCCCAACTTGAAAAAGTTCTTTCCGAGTTACAAAAATCACAAGTTCTTAGGGTTCATTGGGCACCTTCAGGTTATATACTTAACATTATAGGCAGATGAACATCTAGCTTTGACTTCAGTATGTTTAGTGAACATATCTAGAGACCTGCTCAATACCTTGCAGCAAATTTGCCTTTTTTTTTTTCCCCCTCTTTGTGATACTGGGGATTGAGCCCAGGGGCACCGTAATGCTATAATGCTAAGCTATATCCCCAACCCTTTTTATTTTTCATCTTGAAACAGTGTCTTGTTACGTTGCTCAGGCTAGCCTCAAATTTGCAATCCTCCTACCTCAATCACTGGGATTGCAGGTGTGTGCCATTATACCCAGCCATAAATCTGCCTTCTTTTTAATGGAAATAAGCATGCCATAGTTGAAGGGGAATCTTTTACTCATCAAAGTTAGTTGCTCTTCCTCTTATTGCCAGGGTGGTTTGGGCATGGTATCTTAGTGTATGTTTTAATTGTAAGGCACATTTTGTTAGCACTCTGCTTGCCACTATTGTCCTTACTCTTGGAATCAGATGCATTTAAGGCACCTTGTTTATGTTAGAAGATCTTTTTCATCTGGGTGACTTTCCTTATTAAAAGAAAATCTAAGGGCTGGGAATATAGCTCAGTGGTAGAGCACTTGCCTATCATGTGTGAGGCACTGGGTTCAATTCTCAGCACCGCATATAAATAAATGAAAATAAAGATCCATCAACAACAACTAAAAAAATTTTTTTTAAAAATTTATCTGAGCCGGGCATGGTGTCACACACCTGTAATCTCAGTGGCTCTGGAGACTGAGATAGGAGGATCACAAATTCAAAGGCAGCCTCAGCAAAAGTAAGGTGCTAAGAACTCATTAAGAACCCTATCTCTACATAAAATACAAAATAGGGCTGGGGATGTAGCTCAGTAACAGAGCACCCTTGGGTTCAATCCCCCAGTACCCGCCCCCCCCCCCAAAAAAAAAAAAAAAAAAAACGAAGAAGAAGAAAATATATCCAAAGTGAGTGTAGTGGCTGTAGTCCTAGCTACTGGGGAGGCTGAGGCAAGAGGATTATTTGAGACCAGGAGATCAAGACCAGCTTGGCAACATAATGATAACCATTTCTAAAAAGAAACCAAAAACTCCCAAATCTACCTAGCCAATTATTGCTAGCCCAGTTCCTAATTCCACTAAATTTTACTTACTTTGGATAAGGCAATAACAGACATGTTGTTGCTGTTAGGAGTCCCCTAGGCATGGGTCATATGAATGATAATCACACATGGATAGATTGATTTAAATGTACCATAGCACTTTCCATGATCATACATACACCTTGAAATTTGAAATGTCAGAAACATCAAGTTGGGGCTGGAGATGTGGCTCAAGCGGTAGCGCGCTTGCGGCCCAGATTCGATACACCACATACAAATAAAGATGTTGTGTCCACCGAAAACTAAAAAATGAAATAATAAAAAAAAAATTTTCTCTCTCTCTCTCTCTCTCTCTCAAAGAAAAAGAAAAAAAGAAACATCAAGTTATATCTAGTTCTTGTCAGTAAGCCAAGTGACCCGATTGTCCCGCCACCCATAATAACAAAGCAGATAGCTAATTTTTACTCTTTTTACTCATATTATGACAAATGGGACAGGGTAGTAGATAACTTTCTACCATCACATTTTGATATGTTTTAAAAACCTTTATCATCACAATTAATGGCTATTTAACGTTCATTTACAGTGTTTTTCTAATAGTCTTACAGGTTCTTCCCAACATGAGTCCTTACTAATAGATGCATTCTGTAAAACAAGCATCAAAAGACAAAGCCTAGCCAGGCATGATGGTGCATGCCTGTAATCTCAGCAACTTGGGAAGGCTGAGGCAAGAGGATTGTAAGTTCAAATCCAGCCTCAGCAGCTCAATTAGAGCTCAATGTCTCTAATAAAATATAAAAAAAGGGCTGGGGATATGTCTCAATTTTTAAGTGCCCCTGGGTTCAATCCCTGGTACCGAAAAACAAAACAAAAGACAAAGCCTCATTTGTATTGTTCCATATGCTTATAGAAAATACTCCTATCTCTTCTGCTATTTTAAAGAATATGACACTCTTAGAAGTGTTTTTGTTAGGTTGGCTGTTGTCCACATCTTCCTTTGAGCTTTCTGAAGAGGAGCTTTTATAAGAGACCTTTACTCTAAGGGGCATCTGAGTCAAAACTAAGAGAAAATATTACTCTCATGAATTTAGCATCTCTTGCACCCAAAGCATCTCTTGAGCTTTTGAAACACACCTTGACTTTCTCCCTTCCCTGCAGTAACAATCTCACCTTTCTTCCATTTATTATTAATTTTTCATTTATTTTTATTTTCCATATTTTAAATGAACAACAAGGTTTGTGTATATTGTCAACCTCAGTAACAGAGATTCTCTGAAGATTAATGATATCTATTTGAGAACAGTAGTTCATTGCATTGGGAATGTGCATGCCATAGTTGAACTATAAGTATATTCAAAGAGGTTGAGGCAAGGGGAAGTTTTTAAAGGAAAAATGCAGAAGATTACATCAGATATTTTGAAACAGTAATCCTTGGCCACAGGGATTGCATAATAAGGGCAGTGCCAGACTAAAGTTGAACAGTTTCCTTATGCAACAGTTGCAATGGCCTTTGTGCATGATTGTGGTTCTGGCAGTCTTTTGTGATAATTATCCAGTTTTATTTATTTGTTACAACTGATACAAGCAACTCCATTTTCTGACAGGATTCATAGTATGAATAATGAAATGATTACTACAGTAGTCAAATTTATCATTAATTTTAACCCACACTCTTCCCACTGAAATACACTTTCTAGTTCAACTGCTAAGCTGAGCTGTCCATTCTTATGAGAAGAGAATAGATTGGTTAACTACAGGAAAATGGGACTATGCTGTTGGCAACCAGAGTAATATTAGTAATCTGAGCTTCATTGCGCCCCAGTGGTATATGTTATTATTCAGCACATTACTGCCACGGCCTTTCTTTCAGTCATTTCATATCACTAAAGGTATGTTCCCTAGCTTTCCTGGGCCAGGCCCTCAGATGATTTAGAGTAGCAGTTAGTGTCCCAGACTGCAGGAACCTGATAAAAGGAGTCTGGGGTTATGGATTAGGGGTCAGTTTGTATATCAAATATGTGCTCTAGGCAAGGTTGTTTTTTCTCTGTAGGAAATGTCTACTCTGGGAAGAGCAGTCTGTCCAGGTCAGTAAGACCCAGATAACAGAGAAATAAGAATAGCAAAAAAGCTAGGTGTGGTGGCCCACTCCTGTAATCCTAGCAGCTTTGGTAGGCCATGTCAGGAGAATTAGCAAGTTCAACACCAGCCTCAGCAATTTAGTGAGGCCCTAAACAGCTAAGTGAGGTCCTGTCTCAAAATAAAAAAGTAGAAAGGGCTGGAAAGTAAAATAAAATAAGAAAATGTAGTTAATATGCCATTCATATTAGGTTTAGGTTCCCTGTCTTACCTAGACCTAATATGGTAAGACAGGTCTATGGTAAACTGTCCTGTGACAATAAACAGGAGATAGAGATTTTTGTTGTTCCTGGGGGATTGAACCCAGGGCCTTGTGGATACTAAGCATATGCTCAGATACTCAGCTATACCTCCAGCCCCTCAATTGGGCTATTTGCTTAAGTTATATATCCTTCACTGAATAACAACCCCTTGCTCAAAGGTTTTTTTCATCCTCTAATTTTAGTGTGCCACTTGAATTATTTTAGTTGTGTCATAAGATTAACTGAGTCATCAAAAATGATTTCTTTTGGTTAGATCGCCATCTGTTGACCAAAGAGAGAACGCGTAAAGGATCCAGAGCTTCCTTTTAGCCATAGCTTACAGCAGTAACCACACTGAATATTTTAGCAGATCTTCCATCATTTTCCTTTTCCCCTCCAAATCCTCTTTTCTAGAGTCTTAAGTTTCAAAACATGTGCTACTTCAAACCAAGAATGGCCTGGCTAATTCTTTTTTTATCATCTCTAATTTTTTTTTCAAAATAACACTTTAGCCATATTTTAGTTTGGGATGAGTCAGATGTGCTGGGACAACTGGATATCCACATGCAAAAGAATAAAATTTTTTTGCTGGGGGGTACTGGGAAACAAGGGCACTCACCACTGAGCCACATCCCCAACCCTATTTGATATTTTTTATTTAGAAGACAGGATCTTACTGATTTGCTAAGCGCCTCCCAGTTTCTGAGGCTGGCTCGGAATTCATAATCCTCCTGCCTCAGCCTCATAAGCCACTGGGATTATAGGCATGTGCCACCAAAAAGAATAAAATTTTTATCTCTACCTCTCGTCATATATGAAAATTAACTCAAAATGGGTTAGTTACCTAAACTTAAGAGACAAAACTATAAAACTTGTTGAAGAAAACATAGAGTAAGAAGCTGGGGTTGTGGCTCAGCGATAGAGCACTCGCCTAGCACATGCGAGGCCCTGGATTCGATCCTCAGCACCACATAAAAAAATAATAATAATAAGTAAAATAAAGGTATGTGTCCAACTACAACTGAAAAAAAAATCAATATTTAAAAAAAAAAAAAACATAGAGTAAGTCTTCATGACTTTTTGGTTGCCAATGGATTCTTAGATTTAATTCCAAAAGCAAAGGCCACAAAGAAGAAATGGACTTCACCAAAATATGAAATTTTTTACATGAAAAGGCAATATCAAGAAAGTGAAAAAAACTACAGAATGGGAGAAAATATTACAGATCATTATCTGATAAAGGTCTAGTATCCAGAATATA